CAGCACCTGAGAAATGCAGTGTTCAAGTCAATAAACTTAATGTCTATATGGCTTTGTTACTCGTGCACTATGCAAAATAAAGTCCCAAACGTCTTCTGATGAAATCCAGTGTATGTTCTTTTATTTTACAAACAAAAATACAAAAGAATATATGCCATTTAAAGAACTATACCTCATATAATAACTGAAAAGGAACACACAAGAACTGATGATTGATTGAGACGCACTTTTTCCTTCTCTCTTTTGTAATGTTGTTTCCTCATGAAAAACATACCTGGAGTTTCATTCACAAATGTTTGAGTAACGCTTTAATGAAAGTCTGTTTACATCGTCAAAGCTCAAAATGCTTGGTTCCACCTTGTGATGTCATGTAAGGGCAATTACCTTTTGTTCAGTAGAGATGGGCATCTCCAGGGCTGAAATGATCCAACTGATTCTAGTGAAGATGTATGGGGTTTAAAAACACCATGAAGCACGTCCTGTATTATCTCATGACATCACAGGGTGGAACAGAGTGTGTTCTATGTCAGAGAGAAACTAAAAACATGTTTATTTTTAATGAGGGAACAACATTATAACATTGACCAGAAAATAGGGAGGGAGGGATGGATGGATGGATGTCATACAGACAAAATATATACAGTACATTTTCAATGGATGCATTTTTGATTGGAAACATACAATAATTTTAATTTCCTTCCTTTTCCTTTTAAATTTGTTTTAATTGGTTTCCAGTTTTAAATTAGCTGGTAAACCGTTCCACAGACTGGCCCCTTTAAAAGAGAACGAGGACTGACCAAGAGCCGTGCTGTATCTAGGAACAATGCAATTACCACTAGTGGCGGCTCTTGTGTTGAGGTTGTTGTGGTTGAGGAGGCCTGGGACCATGAGATAGATGAGAGAAGATCATTGTGTTCATGAATAGTTTAGAAGTGTGGAGCATTAGATCTTTACGTATGAAACGAAAGCAACTGAGACTAGTTTTAATCTTCTTTGCCAAGTATTTTGTGTGAGTAATACATTTTAAATTTTTGTCTAGAATGAGGTCAAGGTATTTAACTTCACTTACTGCTTGAATTTTCTCATTATGAATGGTCACTTCAAAGTCACAGTTTTTTTTGTTTGTGTACACATTCAGAGTCATATATGTAACCTGGTCTAAAATGTCACTTTGGACCGAACTGCCTAAAATATTAATATTTAATTTTAATAAATAGCAATAAATATGACACTAATAAGTACGTAATAAGTTACAAACATCTCAGTATGACATAAATATATTTGATTAGTGTGTTAAAACATCTCTTATAAATAGTAAAAATATTATAAGCCAAGCAAAGGGTTTTGACAATTTCATTTCATAAAGTTAATTTTGTTATGGACCAAGTTTGTTAAAACTGTACATGAGCATAGCACATTGTATCTGCATTACCTAACTCTATTGTATGTCAGTCTTTTGTTTTCTGTAATTTAATTGGAGGATGCACTGGTGAAATCCAATCAATGAGGAATGGGATTGTACTTTACCTTATTTCAGATACATAATTGTAAATGTATATTTTTACAGGTACAGGAAGAGCACCAGCGTGTGGAGTCATAGTCTGCTGAGGTAAATAAAATTTAACATGAACATATGTAACTGAAAAATATATTTGCACTGTCCTTAAAATTTCGTTTTCATTTTACAGGGATCGATTCTGAATCCACTGCATTTAATTATCCTCAGCCTTTTCAATCCCACCACCACAACTACCACCACAGTTCCGACCACCACCTAATTGACACTGTACTGCAGTATGCTTAAGACTTAGTGCAAAATAAAGTCTCATTGATTCAGGGAAATCAAATGTTGGTTTCTTTCACTGTGTAATTATTGGAAAAATATAATTTAATACATGTTTACAGCAAGTTACTGTACATCTAATGTGTGTTCAGAGCATATCAATTTGGGATTAAATACATTTTGAATTTAACTAATACATTTTTGATTCTCAAACTATTTTCAAACGTGAGATAAAAAGCGCAGCCCACAGACATGAAGAAAATCAGATGAGATTTGAAATCTTACCATCCTCCTAGAGTAAAGACTAAACGAAGAGAATGCACACCAAGACTAAAAGTGATAAAAGCTAGTGCACTCATGTTAGCTGTTTTCCACCCTAATGTAAATCGACTCACTTTGAGACCCTCATCTGTTCAAACGATCAGAGCATTGCACTTATAGATTTTTTACAAGTCAAAGTGTGTTATTCTTTAAAACGTAGCTCAGAAAATGTGCAAAAACAGAAATTATACTCGTAGGATGACACCAATTAACAAAAATGTTTAATAATCCCAGTTTGTGGTGCTATGGAATGTGGCTAAACATAAACACAAAACTACTTCATTGTCACTTTTTCTGCATTTATTTCACTTCTCTACACTACTATAACGTCGCTTTTGTAATGAACTGGGTTTGGCTCATGTGAGAAGCATTATGTGCTGGAAATATTAGATTTTATCATAATATTATTACAGTATTGTCTTTACATGTGAGTACTGTGCATTGATAAACAGTAAACCACTGCTGCTGTTAAACTTGCCATGACTTAGCCAAATTTGTCATGAAATACAATTATTTTACCTTTGACAATGATTTTTCCCTTCAAATATCTGGTACAAGCATGGGAAGAATCTGTGCCCCCAACTATGCCAACTTATATGTGGGTCTTTTTGAAAATAAATTTGTATTTAACCCTGCTCATAAGAAATATTTATCAAGCATAATTAAATGGTTTAGATATATTGATGACATTTTTTGTATATTCAATGTCAGCACTAAAGAGCTGGGAAGCTTTCTGTCACTTGTAAACAGTTTTGACTCCAACCTTCAATTCACTGCACAATTCATTTCTGACAAAGTAAGCTTTTTGGATATGTGGGTACAAAAGGACATTATCACCTCATTGTATTGTAAAGAAACGGACAAAAACACTTTACCGTTGGCCTCTACTTTCCATCCGACTCCCCTAAAAAGAGGTTTGCCCATAAATTAATTTTATTGATTAAGAAGAATTTGCCATTCCACTGAGGACTTTATTCAACAAGCAACGGACATGAAAGTGAGATTTCAACAACGAGGGTATCCTATGTCTTGGGCTGATGATACTTATGAGTGAGCTCTTCATAATCACAGACAGATTTATTAAAAAAAGAGCACTAAGAAGCAAAAACATTATTCTGTAACCCAATATTCTACCCATACACATGCAATTACATCCATCTTTCTGAAATATTGGCACATTTTGAAATCAGACCTGGAAATTTCATCCATCTTTAAAGATCCTGAAACTCTTGAACAAACAAGGTAAAAATCTTAGAGATTATCTGGTACGGGCCAATTCCACAAATAAATCGAAACTATCCGCCCAGTCTCTATTGCACCCTACCCAATGGCAGCTACCGCTGTGGCAACTGTGCTCAGTGTAATAATACAGTAAAAACTGACCACGTTTTACACCCCCACACTGGGAAGAATATCACATAAACTGTGTCATCACATGTGCATCTTCACATGTGGTTTACATGATGAGATGTCCATGTGGCCTAGCTTATATTGGTAAGACCACAAGGAAACCCAAACAGAGAATAAGTGAGTTCCATCAGATAAGCTTTACCAATATTTTTGGATAGATGCATGGCCAATTTTTATTATTTTCCCCAAATTATGCAATTTAAATTACTAATTTACTTTAATTATTAAATTGTAGTAGCCCTTTTTTAATCATAAACCTATAAAGAGTTGCAGAGCAGTTTAGTCATGTTTTGTTCAGTTATCGCCACACTAAAGTGTTCAAATGACGCATTATGTGTGCAGATTGACTAAAACTAAATATTGGCCTGTGATGGACGTTTAAGGCAGATAGTCGATTCATTAAACAGTGCAAATAAAAGCTGATGTTCCACCAAAAGACAAAATTAATATTTTTTGCATACATCCCAATGGGAGGAGGCTCTGGAGAAGACCCAGGAGAGACTGTCTCTCAGCTGCCCTGGGAACGCTCTGTGACCTCCCGACAGAGCTGGAGAGACAGTGTGTAGAGAAGGAAGTCTGGGAGTCCCTGGGAGTCTTGGCTTGAGTGGATCCACTTCACTGACAAACAATATCATATCGAATTCTTATTTGCTCACTTGATGGGGAAACTTAAAAGTCTTACATTATGCAAAATTGACTCTATTGTGTTCTTTAAGCAATGTTACAACGCTGTTACCTTGGAGTTGTGTTTTGTTTCATTCACACACGTTTGAGCAATCCTTGATTATTATTCTGTCCACATCTCCAAAGCTCAAAATGCTCTGTTCCACCTTGTGATGTCATGAAGCGGTATAGTGCAAATAAAACAAAACACAACCCTTTGTTTGTTTGTGATGAGGAAACAACATCATAACATAGATCAGAAAATAGCGTAATGTGGAAATTACAACAACTATGGGGTAAATGAGCCCATCTGAGAGAGACTGTAATCCAGCAATGTATTAATAACTGTATGATGTTTTACTCCACAAACCACTGATACTGATTCCATTATTTGAAGTGATTGTAAATTATTTAGGTTTACTTTGTTTTCACCAATTATTTAGACATTTGTGATGGGCACATTGGATTAATAAAAAGTCTACATTTCAAATCTTGGAGGCATTATTATCAATTTAAGTTATTCTCTGATTAATCCCAGTTTCACATTAAAATCACATTGTGTTTCATTTCACTGTTGCCTCCATTTTTGTTTATAGGTCTACATTCGACACATTACAACAAAGGCAAAGCATAACATCTCTACGGAGTCAAACAGGAGAAGTTGCACAGTGAAGCTTTAAATGATAAATCCTTTGACCATGTTCTAATTGTCATATGACCTCTACTGGTCTGTCTGTTGCTAAAGACAGTTTCAACCACAGATTTCTTACAGTTTCCCAATAGTGTGCAAATGCAGGCTCCCAGTTTGTATAAAAGGAGAGCAGAGCGTCGTCTTTATCATCTGTTGGATTCGAGACAACATACGGTAAAGCTTTTTCATACAACTTTTAGCTGTATCAGGAATTCATTTTTACTAAGTTTTTTTTTTCTTTTTCTTTTTCTACAGGTGTAACCATGATGAAAGTCGCTCTTATTCTGGGATGCCTTTTGAGCCTGACTCTGGCTGTTCCTGTAAGTTCAAGAATCTGTAAATTGTATATTAATTGTACAGATATACAGAGGTGAATGAAGCACTCAGTTTTGTTACTTGAGTAAAACTACAGCTACAGGAGCAAAAGATTACTCAAGTAAAAGTGTCATCATGAAAAAATCAACTTAAGTGAAAGTATTAAGAACAATAAAACCATCAAGTGTAGTGATTTTGATAAAGAATGTAGGTGATTCTAAGTGATTCAATAGATTTCTTATTTTTTCTAGCTTTTTTGTGTATTTGGGTTTTGTTGTTAACTCAAATTAAATGTGCCAAAAATAAGTCTCAGGCATTTCAACAGGTCTTGCATTATAAAAAAGTACTTTATACTTTTAAGTTCAGATAAAAATGTAGTGGAGTAGAAAGTAAAAAGTATTCACTGTAAAAAAGTAAAGATCCCTAAACAGTTGTACTTATGTATTGTACTTTTATTTTTGTACTTTACCTTATTTCAGATACACAATTGTTAATGTATATTTTTACAGGTACAGGAAGAGCACCAGCGTGTGGCTCGCTCGGGGTCATGGTCTAATGAGGTAAATAAAAGTTAACATGAACATATGTAACTGAAAAATATGTGTGCACTAGCCTTAATATTTTGTTTTCATTTTACAGGGAGGGTTATTCTCCTCCTCCTCCTTCCTGAATCCACTGCTTTTTCAGCTTCTTCTTAACCTGTTCACCACAACTACCACCACAACTACCACCGCAGTTCCGACCACCACCTAATTGACACTGTACTGCAGTATGCTTATGACTTAGTGCAAAATAAAATCCCATTGATTCAGGAAAATCCAGTGTATGTTTCTTTCACTGTGTAATTACTGGAAAAATATTATTTAATACATGTTTACAGCAAGTTACTGTACATCTAACGCGTGTTCAGCGCATGTCAATTTGGAATTAAATACATTTTGAACTTAACTAACAAATTTTTGAGTTTCAAACGATTTTTAAAGGTGAGATAAAAAGCGCAGCCCACAGACATGAAGAGAATCGGATGAGATTTGAAATCTTACCATCCTCCTAGAGTAAAGACTACACGAAGAGAATGCACACCAAAACTAAAAGTGATACAAGCTATTGCACTCATGTTAGCTGTTTTGCACCCTAATATAAATCGACTCACTTTGAGACCTTCAAACGATCAGAGCATTGCACTTATAGATTTTTTACAAGTCAAAGTGTGTTATTCCTTAAAACAGAAAATGTGCAAAAACAGAAAGCCGTTACACAGGAAGCAGTATTTTATTTACTAAGGCTAGTCTGCAGCAGCTTCAACCAGCGATCCTGATTTACGTAAACATGACATGCATGAGGAAGTACTATTTTTATTTTTAAATCAGTGCTTCATTGTTGAGAAAATAGTAGGCTTTTGGATATAAGGACACAGATGAATGCTACAGTTTAACGTCATAGCTTACGGTGAGTAATCAGGTGTAACGTCTCCAGGTCAGGTCAGGGCTCTGCTCTGTGAAAACTCATTTTCTCGTTTTTTGAAATAAATAAAATAAAATTAAGAAAAATGTTTAATAATCCCAGTTTGTGGTGCTGTGAAATGTGGCTATAAACATAAACACAAAACTACTTCACTGTCACTTTTTCTGCATTTATTTCACTTCTCTACACTACTATAACGTCGCTCTTGTAATGAACTGAGTTTGGCTCATGTGAGAAACTTTATGCACTGGAAATATTAGATTTTATTATAATAATACTACAGTAATATCTTTATATGTGAGTACCATGCATTAATAAACAGTAAACAGTGGTTGCTGTTAACGTTGCCATGACTGAAATATGAAAGGCTATTTCATATTTCCACATGTCACCTTTTTACATTTAACTAAACAAAATAAAGCAAATAAGTAAATAATCAAAGACATAAATGACAGTGTGTGTAGCTGGATGTTGGTGAATCTGGTTGCTTCAGAACAGAACACTGTGAATGTGGCACATAATTCTCTCGTGAAAGTATAAGCTAAAACAGTTTGTTAAGAAAACATTCCAGCAGGCCCATTACTTCTTTAACTAAGAATATTTTTAATTTCATCATTATTGAGAAAAACATTAATGCACCATCCCTCTTAACCCATGAAAGGAGTTTGGTATGTGGACATCAGAAGAACCACCTCATACTGTAAGCCAGGACTGTATTAAAAGACATTTTACAACAAGTCAGAATTACTTGAAAAACAAACTTGAAAGATTCCATTGGTATTAATTAAATACGTTTCCACAGTAAACTACATGAGTATGATTTTGTAAAAGCTGTAGCGGTAGACAGACAGAAAAACCACACCTGAGGAAAGGAGGGATTTCCAAGAGGATAACATGACTCAATGCTGTCTACAGGGTGGGCTTCTGCTGCTATATAAGACAGAAAAATGAACATTCAAACAATACAGCTTTTCTGATTTCATTGTCACAGTCATCTGAAGACTTGGAGGTAATATACATTCGATTTATTTAAAAAAAAAGTAAATCTTATATTATTAGTAGTCCTCTTAATAGTAAAACTTAACTGTTGTATTGCTTTTTAGTTGTGTAACCATGTGGAAGGTAACTCTTATTCTTGGATGTCTTTTGACTCTGACCCTGGCTTCTCCTGTAAGTCTGAACATGAACATACATTGAATTGTACCAGATTAAATCATACTTTTGTCATCCAACACATTTCCATTATACATCTTTAGGTTAAAAAGGAGCGACGCCTGGCTCGCTCTTTTTCTGATTCAAATGAGGTAATGATTTTCAGCTGTTATAATGTCAAAATAAAAAGCAGGGGTTAATGATGTTTTCCATTTTTACAGATGCACCGTTTTTCGCTTAATCAAATCCTGTTCCAGATCCTGTATAATTTACTTACCACAACTACTACTACAGCAACTGCTACCACTCCAATTCCCCAAACTCCTCCAATTGGGGGAAAAGGTTAATGTAACAATGAAAGCGTGCATTGGAAACTGTTCCGATTATAAATAAAACACTGACTTTGTATTTAAATGTATCTGTATTCTTTCTTGATCATCTTTTTGCTTGTTTACTGTCAATCAGTGAGAACAACTCTGGATATTATGTGACACTTTAAAATGATTAAAGACAGATAATGTGAATTGATATTACAAAATATGCTGAAAAAGGAATAATTATGGTATAAAATCTGTTTACTCCTAATAATGGTATATAGTAAGCTGTATAAGTTGCTATGCCTCCTTATGATTACTTTTGTATCGTAAAACAAAATTAGTGGCGACCACACCATCAGTTCATTGAAGAGTGCTAAATGCCAAATTATTATAAACAAACAAACAATCAAACAAACAAAAAAACATTGATGGAATTAACCATGTAGATATGATATGATTACATATATTACTCAAGAATAATCCTACTAATAGATGATATGGGTTTTTTCATGGCCGATATGAGAAAGAATCTGAATTTATTTGTCATTTCAATATAAAAAATACACAGAAACGAAATACTGCACTTAAGTCCAGGTCAACAGCAGCACAAATAATAATAAGAATAAACAGTTTAAAGTATTGTATATCAAATACAGTCTTTAAAAACAGCCCCCACCCGCCACCGTTTTCTAAAGTGTGTTCCAAGTCAGTGCTATTTTGTAAGGTGCAGTAGTGTCTGGGCTTTCTGACAGAACTGATCTGTCTCACGGCATCAGGGTAAAAGCTGTTTTCTGTAGTCTGGTGGTCGTGGCCTGTAGATGGTGCAATCTTCTGCCTGATGGAAGAACTGTAAAAAGTCCTATGTGCCAGGCTTTTGTCCTGCACCTGCTGATGTCTTCAATGCAGGGCAGACTACAGCTGCAAATGCGCTCAGCAGCTCCAATTACCCTCTGCAGAGCATTCCTCTCTGCCACGGTGCTGCTGCTGAGCCACACAGTCATGTTGGAGTTGAGGATGCTCTCCATTGCACACCTGTAAAAGGCCTTCAGAGGGGCTGAGAGCTGCTTTTTTGAGGCGCCTAAGAAAGTATAGGCGTTGGTGTCCCTTTTTCACTATGTAACTGGTGTTGTTAGACCAGCTGAGAGTGTTCATGATTTGGACTCCCAGGTATTTAAAACAGGAGACAATCTCCACTGCATCTCCATTGATGTACAGAGGAGAAGCGGCATTAGGGTCCCTGCGGAAATCCATGATCATCTCCTTTGTTTTCTTCACACTGATGCATAGATTGTTAGTTTTGCACCAAGCCTCCAGCTGACAGACCTACCTTCTGCAGTTGGACTCATCATTGTCCATGATGAGCCCCACCACTGCTGATGGTTGATAAGTGATGGCCGATAAGTGCTACCAATATTTTTGGCAAGATGTATGACCGATTTTTATTATTTTCCCCAAATTGTGTAATTTAAATTACTAATTTAATTAAATTACTAAATTGTAGTAATTTAAATGACTACAAACTCACTCATAGCCCTTCTTACATAATGCTTCATATGAAGCATTATGAAACATTATGTGTGCAGATTGACCAAAACTAAATATTGGCCTGTGACGGACATTTAAGGCAGATAGTCAATTCATTAAACAGTGCAAATAACAGCTGATGTACCACCAAAAATAAAATAAGACAAAATTTATGTTTTTTTTCCCCTTCTTTCCAATGGGACAAGGCCCTGGAGAACACCCTGCGACTTCCCGACAGAGCTAGAGAGACAGTGTGTGGGGAAGGAAGTCTGGGAGTCCCTGTGAGTCTTGGCTTAAGTGGATTCACTACATTGACAACAAAATTATATTATGCAAAATTGACTCTGGAGTGCTTTAAGCAGTGTTACAATGCTGTTACCTCATCAAAAACATACCTGGAGTTGTGTTTTGTTTCATTCACACATGTTTGAGCAATCCTTGATTATTAGTCTGTCCACATCTCCAAAGCTCAAAATGCTCTGTTCCACCTTGTGATGTCATGAAACGGTATAGTGCAAATGAAACAAAACACAACTCTTTGTTTGTTTGTGATGAGGAAACAACATCATAACATATATAACATGGAGATTACAACAACTATGGGGTAAATGATCCCATCTGAGAGAGACTGTGATCCAACAATGTAATAATAACTGTAAGATGTCTTACTCCACAAACCACTGATACTAATTCCATTATTTGAAGTGATTGTAAATTATTTAGGTTTACTTTGTTTTCACCAATTATTTAGACATTTGTTATGGACACATTGGATTAATAAAAAGTCTACATTTCAAATCTTGGAGGCATTATTATCAACTTAAGTTATTAAAACATCGGTGAACTATAATAACAGTCAAGTGCCTTCCTAAACATGATTTGTTTAGTGACATCAGTGATTGGGGATTTTAAGATTATCCTCCAATTACAACAGTCCCTCTGTATAGTGCAATGTCCAGTCGCACTCACCTTATTGGCTGATGGGAGCTGGATATTACTTTAAAAAGGGCCTGTGCCTCCATTGACATCAACCACCTATGTCCATCTCTACTCTACTGGAATCCACTGAGAAGACCACTGCTATTTATTTATTTATTTTTGTCATTTTAATGCTTTTATTTATTTATTTAAATATTATTATTAAATATGGACATAGAAATTACATTGGACAAATCAGCTTCGAGTGTTATAAAAAGTTCAATTTTTTTAGTATCTATTTCGTAGGATAAACTTATACAGTTTAAAATGATTAGGTGCATAACATAAATAACCTACATTTCATACAGAATTACATTGTGTACAGCTCTCATGAGTGAGCGAGGCTCTGGTGGTGGGTCTGAGAGCCCTGACACCTGACTAGCTTAACAGCAAACAGTAACTAATACTACGACTATTGCTACTATAACGATATAACCTAACCTGATACATCTGCTTTGAATTTTGCACCCATAAAGAAATTAATGACTTAGATGTTGTTTTGCTTTCCAGATGTGTAACCATGTGTTTTGAGATATCTCCTGTGCCTGACTCTGGCCCCCACTCTAAGGCAAAGACGTTTATTAAAATATATAAAGTCTGTTCTTGTATCACTCAGAATCTCTTACAGGTGAAAACAGAGCACAATCACATCACCCACTCCAGTGACACAAACACAGACACACTGCAGCTCCTGCTGCACAACTACCTCCACCACTGGCACCACCACCACAGTGCCACTGCTGCCTCTGGCTCAACCAGGCTCTGCAGAGACCACGGCTCCAAATCTAGAGTTGTTTCAATGTTAGAAACTCCTGATGGTGTGTTTGTTGCATTATAATCTAGTGTCTGCTCACAAATGTTTCATTTAACTCAGCCATTCAACAAATGTAAATATACCAAAAAATGTTTTGTTAGATTTAGGTAGTTCTTTCTTTTTTAATTTGTTCTGTTAAAAACTGAACATACATACTTTTAAATACTGTTTAATACATAAAACTGTCAAATTTCCTCCTTCAGAGTTGCAACTACAAATCACATGCCTTTAATGATACAAGATTTAGCTGTGGACTTGATTTAAAAAGACCCCAAACTGACAATTAGAAATGACTATATCTCTGTTGTATATTCATCAAAACCTGACATTTACATGTCACATTTGAAAAACAAAAACAAAAAAAACAAACAAAAAAAACAACTCAAAGTTTAAGTGCAACATACACACAAATAATGATCACTGCATGATAAATAGGCCCTCTCCGGTCGTTAAGAAATGTGTAAGAGCTTTTGATTCAACCCAAAATTTCAAAATCCTATGTATTGCCTCAAGTCTGAGTTCCTCATGAAATATGCAGTAACTGACACATAATTTCTTTCTTAACTCCTGAGATTAGTTCAGTGTCTAGCATTGACAGTAGGTTATAGGATTATCCTCCAATTACAACATTTCCTTGTGTTTTTGTACAAGGCCATATGTCCAAACCCACTCACCTGATTGGGTGAAGGGAGCAGGATAATGCTTTAAAAGGTGACCCTTAGTTCTCATTGCAACCACCAATTCTCTACGAAAATCTCCTGTGAAGCTCTCAGTTTAGCGGTATGTACTCCTGGTTTTTCTCTGTCCATTTTTAAACTTTCCTATAGATGATAAAATTGTTTGTTTCCATAGAAATCTGTCGATTCCAGCAACAATGAAACTTTTTTCAAGTGACAGTTGGTCTGGTGCTCATTGGACTAAGTCTTGCTCTTCCAGTAAGTTCAAACTGGAAAGAGATACTTTAACAGTTAGTTTAAAATTTCTGTGTTGAACTCATCTAAATGTTTTTAAAGGTTCAAGAGGAAGACGTCAGGGTCAAACGCTCCAGTAGCAATGAAGTATGTGAGACCACAACAGAAGTATTCAAATGATATCACTTTATTTAATGGTTTCTCTTTTTTCCAGGTAAATCCCAACATGAACAACATGAACAACATGAACAACTTGAACAACATGAACAACAACCAGATTCTCCAGCTCCTGCTGCCCCTGATCCTGACCCAGGCCCAGACTAACCCTACAGCAGTGGCCACACTGTTGACTCTACTGACCACCCAAGGGTGAAGAGACGCCAGTAAGCTGAACACAAGGACAGTTGATTGTTTTTTCATCACTTTGTATGTTAAAAATAAATGTTATTTTCAAATAAAGAACATGACAAGTCAAATGTTCCACATTTTTCAAACACTGACACCAACCATACAGTAGTTGAGAATCTTCATAGAGTCACACTATATTTTGGGGTGGCATGGGTCCTTTCTGTGTGGAGTTTGCATGTTCTTCCTATGCCCAGTTTTCCCTACCACTAAAAACATGTACAACAGAAAGAGATTTTAACTTCTGTTCAGATCATCACAGGAAGAACACACAACAAAGCTACTAAAATTATAATAATATTATACTTCAATACCACCTCGAGTATGGCACTGGGTGCCATAGTGGACATATACTGTCGTTGGGCAAGACACATCAAACAGGTTGCCTCTAGTGTTTAATACTGGTGTGTAAATGAGAGTGCTGAGGTTGCTCTGGTCCAGACCCGTCACATGGCCGGATGTCTGTGCAATCCTTCAGTCATCCAGGTTCAGAGCTGTAGTGAAAGAAAACTTCATTTCTGTCAACTGGACAAATCCTGATTTAGGCACTAATATTTTAAGACTATAAAGAGTTATGAGGATTTAATAGCACAGATTTAATCAAAACAAGTTTTGTATTTTTTTGAACAATATTTACTGAAGATCATCATTGAAAATGTGGGGTCAAATTCTATGTCAAAGACTACACCTGGTGAAGGTTATCAGTGGTCATTTTAAATAACTGTTTGTATTAAGGTCTGATCAGTTATGATCCTCTCTCAGACAAGGTAAAAATGTGCGTTTATGTGAGTTTACACAGTGTTAATGAGGTTGTTCCTCTACAGTGCAACCACAGTGACGTTATCTCTGATTCTGGGATGTCTTCATTTTAAAGACAAGCTTTGAATAAAATTAGAGTTTGACCAATATGGATTTTAAGCTCTGCTGATATTTTTGGGCCAATTTTGATCATTTTCCTCTAAAATATATGATTTGAAATGACAACTAAATGGAGTTAATATGACCACACTACACCTCAAGCTTCTTCTCCTCCTCTAGAACCACAGCTCACCTCAACCACACCTCTAATTACCCACAAGCCTATTTGTACCAGCCTATCCCATCACCACAGTTTGTCTCAGCTACTGTATCTCGACCCCGCCCTCCCACCCCCTCTTCCGTTTGTCTTGTCAGCCATAAGACATCTACAAAGGGGTATCCTGCACTGACTGGGCTGAACAAGTCTGAGTCTCTACTCCGCCACCTCTATCTCATCTCATCATATTATCCATCAATAAATATCTTCATTGCATATTGTTGTGGCGTGGTCATTGCTAGTGAATATAAATATTGCCTACACTTTTTACTGCTACATAATTAAACTATAATAAGAAATTATAATGTCAAAAGAAATTATTTTTAGACACCTACAAACCAGTTTTTACAACTAACCCAGAATGGACCAGTGTAATGTCATTTTGTGAATGCCATCATCACACTAAACTGTGAAAATAAAGCTTTATGCAGCAATTGGTGACAGCAAACTAAATATTGGCCTAGGTAGGAGATATAAGGCTGGGACCCCATTTGTAAAAAAGAGAAAATGTTAGACCGATATATTGGTCTATCTCTAAATAAAATGCACCAAAATATACAAAGAAAAAATGAGTTAAAAGTCTTTGAAAAGCTGAAATATCATCTGTGCTCTGAATTTTAATCAGTAATATCCAGTTTCATGGTAGTTTTCATTTCATTTTTTATTATTATTATTTTTTTCTTTGTTCCTTTCATGAAAATGCAAAGTCGTACAATATATAATGTAAGTGTACTTAACAGAAGGCATTTCCATGATTAGAAATGAGCAGATATGAAGAAAAATCTCACATTAGTCTGATCCTTTTTTAATTTAAAAATGTGCATAAGATTTCACGGATAAGGTGTGTATTATTTAGTTGGTAGTGTGATTTTTTTTTACCCAATCAAAGCACAGAAAATATACTGTGGCTTTTATGAAATCTAATGTCTGAAACTTAAAGCTAAAGACAAATCTCCAGAATCTCCAGAATGATTTGCTCTCTCAATATGGCTTTAGACACTGAACTACTGCCATCTGCTGGCCCTTTTATAACGACATTTAATTATTGACTAATGCTGGGGGGTAATCATATCATTTATTCTAAGCTGTACGGAAGGAAATACCAAGGCCATGGTGTAAGGTAGTATAAAAAGTCTGTCAAACACAAAATACATACTAGAAGCCAGACACCTTTTTTGGGGTTGAAAATGACGAAATATCCTTTATGTAACATCCACACTGACGGAGCTTTAAATGGCCAGACAGACCCCCCTCACTAGACACTAAAATGTTGTGTTACAGATGCCAAATTGATTGACAGTCCCAGTGCATAAAAACACTGAGTAAACAAGATGATTACAGTGTTCGGATGTGGAAAGACATTGAGCAAGTCCTGTTGTTTTTGCATTAATAGCTTTAGGCATAGACCTCACTGAACTCTAACCGCGGAGCTCTAATGTCAAAACCTTTGCAATATCTATGTGACCTACTAATAAGAAAAATAATGTCACTTTACATTCGTCACAGCTTCCACTAATTGATAGGCTATAGTACATCCATTAGTGGAAATAGCGTCACCAGTTAGTTATTAAACCTATTTAGATTTGGTTTCTCTCACTCCCACAGTGTAGACCACATATGAGACATAGCACCACACCTTAGCAGCCAGATGCAATGAGGACATACAAACCCTGCTTAAAAGCTAATAGACTTTGAAACAGTCAGGCAAAAATTACCAAGACTTCCCCTATTCACTTTGCTCACAACGTCTGTAAGAGATATTCTATAATACCACTCGACCACAATGTATCGGATGATTTGTCTACTGACGGTTCTCGCTCTGATCCAGTCTTCAAGTGCTGTAAGTACTGTCAAATTTATAGATTCAGATTTTTTGTATAAACGTCCGTATCAAACTATTTTCTGATCTGTTATAATGTTGTTTCCTCATCACAAACACACATGGTGTTGCGGTTTGTTTCATTCACATGTTTAATGCACAAACCCTGCATATTTAGATTGTGTTCTTCTCTCGAACATAAAACACTCCACGTTCCACCTTGTGACGTCATGTGGTAATACAGGAAGTGCTCCACTGCATTTTTTAAACTCTGTACAGCTTCAGTAGAATCATTTCAGCCCTAGAATTGCCCATCTCTACTGAGCAAAAGGTAAAAGGGAGCTATTAACTTGAAAACTACCACTACATGACATCATAAAGTGGAACAGAGCATTTTGAGCTTTGGTAATGTAGACAGACTAATAATAAAGGGTTACTCAAACCTGTGTGAATGAAACAAACACAACTCCATTTATGTTTCTGATGAGGTAACAGCATTACAACATGGCTTAAAGCTCAGAAGAGATAATTTTGTGTAATGTAGGACCTTTAACTCCAGTCACAAGGATCCACAGGTTATTAAGATGTCTGCAAGAGCCCAATACAAGACTTGATTCCTTATTTTTGTTTTGATGGAGATCTGGAGTAATATATGAAACTTTTGCTAAACTGAAAATAAGTGTGAATGGGGGTGTAACTTTTCAGGTGGATTGTACATTACGTAAATGCTTTTCTCTATGGAGATGTTATTGCTTTGTTTCACAGTATGGTATTAAAGCTTTCTATCTTCATGGAGACCAAACCCAACCAAGTTAGAGGTCAGATCTGTGGAGAGGCAACAGCGTTCACAGTCAGAATGCCTGTTTTTCTAGGTACTTTTGGGATATAAAACCATAAAATGCAATAAATATACGACAGACCTGTTTAATGTCATAATGTGGAACATTCTAAGTAGAGCAATGACATATCCATCCATCCAAAACAAGCAGGTGATGGAGCCTCCACCAGAAAAGCTGCAGAATGCATCTTTAAAAGTAAAAGAGAAAAACATGTTATTGTCATTCTATTGTTTTTACAGAGAAGTTGCCGCCAAGCCCGCAGTGACTCCAGTGAAGAGGTAAGACTGAAAATCCATCTTGCATAGCAGCAGACTAGCACTCGGTCTGACTGTGTGAGGTAAGACAATCATCCTATTGATACTTTGCAGTGACATCGTGCTGGGGGTGTTCTACATGTATGTCTAATGGTGGAATGTTTAGGAGTTACCATGGTAACGTAATGCACACATGAGCAAACACTGTCAAATTAATTTAAACAACGCATTTTCAGGAGCCTGTGATCCTGTGATATCTGTTTAGGTATTTGATTTTCAACAAAAAAGTGAGAGAAACTAACTAAAAAACTGCTAATACTAGATAGCTTCTGATTGTGATTTTGTGTGTGAGACTTGTTTAACAGCATAAATTACCTTACCGGTTCTAACTAAGTCTACTCTGTCTAGTCTGATTAAAGTCTTGCTTGTGTAATAGAGCCTCTAACAGAGTAGTGCTTTCAGTTAGCATCACACCCCCAGAGAATGTTGATAAAATCAGCTGCAAAGTGTCAATATCTACAGTAATGTTAATTCATCCAATTTGGACTTTGGGTTTCTTCTCCAGGGCTTTAAGGGCACTTTGACCTTGTGGCAGATTTGGCCTTTGCTTCAAGGACTGTGGCCACAGCTCACTCCACCTACTACTACTAGGTCTACTACAACAACTACGAGAACTTCAACCACCACAACAACGGATCCCCGTGGAGACAATAAATAGCCTCATAACTATTGTTTCACTTATCTGTTTTCTTGAAAGTTTTGTTCTTTTTTCTTCTACATAAATCACATTCTCTTAAAATCACAATGACTCTCACTTTGAGGTTCCAACATTATCAAATACATAAAAATAATAAAAACAAAGAAATACATGAGTTATACGTACTCTCTAATGTTGGCTACAGAAACATTAAAATATCTCAGATTTTTGAAGACATTTGCTAAATCAACAGGTTTTGTGCCCAGCAGCATGCTACCTAGCTCACTATTTATCACTTTTATTAAAATTATAGTTTGAATTGATTTAATATTAAAGTTAGAATTTATTTAATACAAACAACCCAGTTATTTTTATATGCTGAATACTGTTTGTGGTGTTTTTTTACATCTTGCCTCAAAAGTGAGCATTAGCGTTAGGATTGAAACACAAACGTTTCTCTTTCTAAACAGAAGTGTCCTCCGCTCAAGGATATCCACAGAAAATTCACTGTCCAATGCCTGATCTTTAAACATATATTAATCTTAGGCCGTCTAAGCAAAAACCTCACAGATGCACAATTGGACAGGAAGTAGTGACACTAACAGTGTGGTTGTGCCTGTTCCTGGTTGGTTCATTATTTCAGCTCACATGCATCGTGACTAAGGTTGAAACTATATGATGGGGCAGAAAAACAGACAGGCACTCCTTTGGATAAATCTGACCTAAGACCGGGGTGGAGACAGCAGTGGGAGGAGGCTGACAACACATAGGTGTAATCTCCACTCTGCCTCTCCCCTGGATCAGCGCTGAGCCTCTAATGTCAGGTCTGTGTAACCCTCACTCACTGACCACCACCACATGCCATTAAACACCAAATCACTATATACAGACGAGATAAACCAGCACATCTGATGTTGAATGTAACCATGGAAACCACTTCTGTATCTTCCTCTATTATGCACTGGAAAGAAATGTAGTCTTATGATTTATTAAAGGCCTAGTAATAATAGTAGTTTATAATATTAAGATAATTGGAAAATTTGAAATAAATGTATAAAAATGTTTGTTGTTTGTCTCATTTTAAGGAAAAGACAATAAAAACTGTACTGTTATTACTGAAGTAGAAGTAAAGTAGTAGTCCAAGTAATAACTCAAGAGTAAAAAAGTATCTGGGGAAACTACTCAATTAATTTGTTACTTTGTTAATAGAAGTGGAAAAAGAAAACATTAAATAGTGCAGAAAATTAAAGCAATTTAACACAAATGTTGAAATATTTTAATATTGTCCACCTAAATCCACTCATAGAACGTGCTCACATTGGGAAGAGCAACCAAATCTTTTACACAACAGTGCTGAAACAATACATATTATATATATTACAATACTTAAGTAGGAGTAAATCGTGGTGTCTGAAAATTATTCTGGGAAGTACACAATTGTTAGGGATGTAACGATCTCCAGATCTCACGGTACGATATTTATTGCGATATTTTGTGGAAGCTAACAAAATTGTGAATATGCTAGTTTTTCCCTCTTAAAATTTATTTATTTATTTATTTATTGGATCCCTATTAATCTTTAATGGGGTAAAGACTATTCTTCCTCGGGTCCAAGTTGGCATAAATGCCCTGACAAAACTTAATTCAAAGAACTAAGATTTAAATGTGCTTAGAACTGTCATTTCTTCATGTAGTTTGCACCAAAATGGAGCAAAGGATTATGGTCGATGTAGTTCCCTCTGTCTTTTTAGCTATTGCTGCATCATAACAATGAATTTAAGCAAAGAAACTTATGATTGTGAGTGATTCGATCTATTGTAATGGCCCACGATATTATTGAGCAACTTTTGATGATACAATATCACGATATTTTGGTTATTGTTAAATCCCTAACAATTATATAAAGTTACTTTAAGTTACTCAAATAAATGTACAAGACATAAATGTCACTATCCATCTACTATCCACCTCTAGGCCTGTCATTATAATTTGTATATCGACTTATCGTTCAATATACGAAAGCTGGAACATATATATATATATATATATATATTTTTTTTTATGCCAGTCTTTATTCAGTTTACATTTCCTTTGCACTATTGGGACTTTTTTACCTATATGATATATACAGCTAAAAGAAGAACTGTAGAGCTGTAGAAGGTTAAAAAAACAACTTCTATGACCCATTACAGATACAAACTAAGTACTGTAGTGTTTCATTTTACTATTTATTTATTGCAGCTCATGATTTTTTTATAATATTGTACATTAAGAATCTGATCTTGGGTTATTGTGTATAGATCTTGGGCATAGATTGGTTTCAATATTATCATCATCATGTGTATTTTTACTTCAGCAATATTGTATTAACCCAGCTCCAAACAATAGAAGAGCTTTTTACCGCACATCTCTGACTCTAACCAACGCTCTCTATCACACTCTCTAAAATATTATCACTATATTTTTAAGTATTATATTATCCATGATAGAATATTCATTACTTAACATCATTACTTAACCTGTTTTGTACCATAGTGAAGAAAAGGTTAAATAAAGTCTACCAATTCCAGCCACAAGAGGTCAGATTTTTTTCAAATATTAAGCACTTAAAATAAACAGAATAAAGAAACCTGCGCCCACTTTGGCCTACAATTTAATCTTCACCTTGCACTCTATTTTGTCATGTAAGAAGATCTGCATTATTTTGCAAACTAGTTCAGAGTTTCTCAAGAGTTAAATTGCAGAGAAACATATTGTGGAGCATGTTTTGTCTGACCCAGTTGCATTGCAACAACAAAATGTGAATGTGAGGCTCCGTTTATAGCACAAGATTGTGAAATTCATGTCCTCAGTCTGCCCCTGGGTAAATTTCCTGAAGTGAAAAAACACGTGTAAGCACTGGAGGCACTATAATACTACTGCACCAGCTTGACATCACCCTAAATTGCAAAATGATCAGACAACCATACTTTTTTGTTAAAACCTGCTGGATGTTGCATAAAACAAGTGTACCCATAATTATAACATGAATTAGCTGACAGAGGCGCAGTGAGTAACAGGAAAGCTGGGTGCTAGTTGGGTCAGTATTCTCAGACATGACACCATCATAATGGGCCAAAACAGGCATTTTAGACAACATGCTGGTTCTTAATATTCTCTTGCTTAATTTGCACTAAAAATGAGATTGCCTTTTCTGTCCGTTGATTGGTTGTTTCAAGTTGTGCACGGAGCATAAGTCAGTGTCTCTCACAAAGTAGTTCAGTAGACTTAGAAACGCTTATATATAAATATCCACCACAAGACTTCATAATAATATTTTATTAGTATAGATATTTAGTCAAAATGATCGTATTAATTGTTTTATCGTGCCTCTGCTACGTGGGATCTGCCATACCTGTAAGTATTCGAGGATTCGTTTTTTTTATAAAATTTTTGTATTTATTCTGCACTGTTGGAATTTTTTAAGGGGCCTCATTTTTATTTTTATTTTATGCACATATTTTCTAGTTTTTTTTTTTATTTTTTATTATTTTTTCATTTTTTTATTGTAAATATTTTTTCTTTATTGGACATTTTTATTTTATTTTTTATTTTAGCTAAGCGCCAAGCCAGCTCCTCCTCTGGAATCTCACCTATCCCCAAGGGTCCATGGTGCAGCGGAGGCCACAGAGGCTCAGACACCGGCCCCTCTGGCTCCTATTGAACAGCCCCAGCCTTCCTCACAGCCTCTGCCCAGTCCCCAGCTCCTGCCTCCTCTGCAGCAATACCCCTGGTCTCCACTGGGGGGCGCTCCAATGATTTTCCCGTACCAGCCAGGAGTAGTTGGATCCCAGCCAGCTGCAAATCAACCTGGAATGCCTATCCAGCCTTTGGTATGACGCAAAGACGCTTAATGGATTAACTAGATGTGGGGTTTAATGTGCGTAATTTGTTGCTTCATTCCAGGTCTTTCCACCTTTTGGGTATATGCCATTGTTTCCTCCATATACCAACCAGATGGTGAGATCATAATTATCTTACACGCACATTACAAACGGCACTGTGTATTCTATAGGCTCTATTAAAAAAATTCCACTGAGTTTTGACCTGGGGGTGCTCTTAAATGTGGTGTCAGCATGTGTGGTAGGGATACTACGTTGGGGAAATACAGCGCCGACTTAAGTACATGTGATTTATGGCTCTGTGGTTGAGACTTTTTTGGCAAGGAAACAACTGACACTGTACTGCAATATATGTATACATCTGGAAGTAAACAAGGATTGAAATTGTACTTACACCGTATGAAGGCCAGATGTGTGTTGCCAGCTCTCTCCATATAGGCTCCCAGAAGCCCCTCTCCCACAAGCCCCAGCCAATCCGGCGCCAAACGTATTACCGGCCGAAACATCTCTCACAGCGGCCCCCGGAGGAGAAGTGCTGCAGACGCAACAACAACAACAACAGCAGCAGGTGCTTCTGCGGTTCACTGTCTGTGGCATTGCAATCTAGAAATACCTGCGTTATTACCACGTATTTTTTCTTCCACAGACTCCACAAGTCATCTACATGATGCAGCAGCCAATGGTAACTACACAGAAATCATTCAAAGTCAAAGTTTATCCATGGGTTTCAGAATTATTAAAAGGCCGTTGCCATAGCAGTTAATAATTCAAAACAAATTGTCGTATTTTTAAGAATGGTCACCGGTCCTCGAAATGGCATCATAAAACAGGAAACTGAATAGTGTTTGTATTCTATGTGCAAAAGCCAGTCAGAGGAAGCTGTAAAATTTCACTGCTTGGTTTTACATCAAAATCGTAATTCCTATAATTCCAGTAGGCCATTATGAAGATGAACTGCTATTTACCAACCACTGAATGCCTGCAGTAGTTATGTATGATCATCTAATTTCCTAACAATGATCACCAAAACAATCAGTATTTCTCACTGATTATATTTTTATCATTAATGTTCATGATCATTTTATCATTATCGTTTTTATCCTGCAAAAGGGCCACTGTATGTTTATGATGAATGGCCTTCTCGATGTCCTTTAATGAGCAAATAGCTGAAACATAGGAGCTCAGTCGCACACTATACTAATGACAACTGGTGAAAGGAAAAAGATTCATGAGCCGAGTTGAAATGTGAGGGAAAACATACTTCACTGATCTGTGACTGAGTGTTTAAATATAACCATAACCACCATTCTGCTGCTGTGGAAGCTGATCATTGTGTTCTATATATACCAACTGTGGTATATGAGCTTTGGCTTGAGAACAAATTGACACAACATTGTATAATCTACGAAACCTTTAATTTATGAACTGTTATCTGACGTGTACACTGTTTCTTATACAGAACCCACAACTTGGCGGCCTCAGCTCGGAGGAGCTCCAGGTAAAACCACTGCCAACTTTTTATTGTGCTTCAGTATGAGCTTGTTCTAACCAAAGAGCTCACGAACTCAGTGATCCCAAAGAAGACTCAATGGCTTCTAATCTCCCTCTGTGTGCATTGCAGATTGCTGCTAAACTGAGTCAGATGGGCATGTTCACTGTTATGAATAATGCTGCTGGAGGGCCACTGCAGCAAGTGATTCCAGCTGCAGGGATCCCCAACCAGGTGAATGCAGAGGTGGGGGTCCTTCCTGCAGGTGTCCAGAAGATCCAAGGACCCAACAGACGCACCGGAGGATCGCCCTGCTCCAAAAAGCAACAGACCACAGGCCCACAGAAAGCTGCAGCAGAGCCCGCTGCTGCTGACATAGACTGAAGAACAATGAGAAGTCCCCCTAAATGAGCAGAGTACTGTCACTTTTACACTTAGATCTGTAGTCAGAACATAATGGGTCAATAGTTATACAAATGGGACATGTAGTGTGTGTATATTGTTTTCCACATAACCTTTACAATTAAAACATGTAAATACAAGAAAGTCTAGTGTCTTCATATTTATGTCCCTTCAATCATCTGTTCATCTGTTCTCACACTTGATGATGAATTATGAGAAAGTCTGAGTGCTTGTAAGTGAAGCAACACTTCAGTTAGCCCTGAAGTCATTTTGCAAGTATTGAATACTTGTAAAAAAATTACTGCACCAGTGGGTTCAGAACCAGGAAAGCTTGAATTTATCCATAATGACAACGTAGATGTACATAAACGCAGTATGACACTAAACTAAAATAGTATGGTATAGAATATGCTTAATTATAAGTTCAAAAATACCAAAATTGCACCATATAGCTTAAAAGTGAAGTCAAGAGGAGGTCACTGTGAAATGTGCAGACGGGCATGTATGTGCGGAAATCTTAAAATATCAGATTCCTGTAGTTTTAAATGTTTTCTTATAAATACCTCCTTGCTTAATTCATAGCATGAGTAGAACCACATACAGTATTCATTGTTTGTTGTTATTGGTGTGTGAGTGCAGCTGCAGCACATTATCTGACCATTAAATGTGCTGAGTGCTACGTTCTCAACTTGTTGCCAATCCATGTTTGAACAAAGACTGTGCTTGTAATTCAAAATACAGGCTGTGAAAAACATACTTAACAAGCTGTTTAATACATATGTCACCCCGATTTACCCAACATACATCGCCCATAAACGTGAAATGTGCAGCTTTGTGGACTCATTAATCACTGCAAACGTTTTATACAATTGAGGAAATCAACTTGGACAAATGAGAATATATTACACAGTTCCTTAAAAAAAAAAAGAAAAAAAAAAGAAAAAAAGAAAAAGGTTTATTTTTTATTTTTACAGGTGAATTTAAATAGAAACCTATTTTTTAAAGAGCTATTTTCTGATCTATGTTATAATGTTGTTTCCTCATTGCAAACAAACCTGGAGTTGTGTTTTTCGTTTCGTCTCATTCATTCAGGTTTAACACACAAACCCTGCATATTTAGCATGAGTTCTTCTCTGAAACTGAAACACTCTGTTCCACCTTGTGATGTCATGTGGTAATACAAGACGTGCTCCACTCTGTTTTTAAACTCCATACACTTTCACTAGAGTCATGTGGATAATTTCAGTCCTGGAATTGCACATTTCTACTGAACAAAAGGTAAACGGTAGCTGAACTTTGGAGATGTAGACAGCCTAATAATGCAGGGTTACTCAAATATGTATGAATGAAACAAAACACAACTCCAGGTATGTTTTTGAGAAGGTAACAGTATTATATAGGACCTTTAAGATTAAATGCAGTTTGCAGGAATATTTTTGGAAGATGATTCTTACACTATATTTATATTCAAGAATTCAAGTATTATATGAAGAGTTCAATAGCAAAAACAGATATGTCCATTTTGCAAAACTGGCAAAGTCTTTCTTTTTGTTACCATCTTCTAAAAAATATTAATAATGATAGTAATAGATTTTATTTAGATTCAGATCTGAAAAACACATTACAAAGTGCTACAGTCAGTTTCACATAAAATTATAATAACAACAATAAAACCCAGATCAGCAGTTATAGGCCCATTTGCCTTTTCAAATAAAGACATTTTTAGCTGCCTCCTAAAAATATTTTGATAGCAGTAAAATAGATTGGTAAACTGCAAAACTTCAGTGACTTTTTAAAATGGTACGTATGTGTTTCTGCAAATGGACTCTTCAGTGTATTTCTTCAGACAAAACAGAGCAGAGAATCACGTGCAGACTACAGTGGATGCATTTATAGAACCCGACATGTAGCACGGGGCCTCCTCGTAAAAACACAACCTTATACAGAGATCAAATGTGATGAATGCAGGGTTGAGGCCAGTTTTTTTTTAGACCTCGACTTCTCCCTGAGCCGCCGCTGCCAATGTGCAAAGCATAAAACAAATATGCTTGGCTTGAAACCAAAGCCTGTCAAAATTCACCCCAGATCCGTTTTTGGGAGCAAATAAATAGGAGTAGAGCTCTCCCTCCACTTCTCACACCTCTCCTCTGCAACCCATCTGTACATCAGTGCTCGCTACAAGGAACGGTCAGACTACTGTATACACATTTTTTCTCTTTCCAGTCATTAAGAATAACTTTGCAATGTTTTGTTTTCAGATCATCAAAATGAAGTCCATCCTTGTGGTTGTTTTATTTCTTGGGACAGTCCTTTGTTTCCCGGTAAGATTTTCAGTTTATTTTTGGTTAATTGATGATACAGTTTCAATTAAGTGCCTGCTGTTTCTATAATCACTTTAAGCATCCATGTGTCTGCGGGATAATTTGCTTTTTCTTTCCATTTTCAGCTTGATATGTATGTGGAATATGACATCCACTTTGCTCCTGCTGAGGTATAATATTTAATTCATTGTAACATCTTTAAGTGACCTGTAGTCTTTTTCTTCATTCATGCATTTTAGCGTTATTTTAACTTCAAAGTTTACAGTGGATAATTTGGTCCATAAATCATTGTAGGCAGCAGCGGCCATCCCTGCGGGGGTTCCTGCTGGCAGCCTGGAAGTGGTAAGAGCTGAGTTTTTCTTCATTTGACACATTCATCATCATCTTCATCATCCTAATGTCAATCTTTTGTGTGTTTGTGTTTCCAGCTCCTGCCTTTGAATGCTCCGGCTGGTGCTCCTGTAAGTGGAACATCATCACACAGTTAGACTTTAAACTTTATTGATCCACAAAGGAAATTATTTGGGCACAATATATTATAATAACAAAGAGCAAAGATATAAATGGTAATAATAAATTCAAAATAAGTGTAATTAAAGTGTAATTATATGTAAAGTAATGTAAGTAAAAATTAAATACAGAAATCTCAGCTATATAGAAGAGCAAGAATAAACAGTGGCAAAGATGAAATAATCCGGACAACACATAATTGTTTTATATGAGCCAAAATGTATCAGAATGTGTAACTCTGTGTGTTTTGACAGGTGCGTGGATTCATCAAACAGGACATCCCACAGCCCAATGGCAAAGATAAAGAGGTGGTAAGTGGTATTTCCCGCACGACTGGCACTGCCACCACAGTTTGGGCGGACTCCCCTATAGAACTAATGATCCGTTCTCTGCTTCAGTTCTACCCATTTGGATTTGATGCTCCAGCCGCGCCCGCAGCAGCCGCACCAGCTCCCGTTGCCCCTGTCGCTCCTGTGGCCCCCGTCGCCCCCGCTGCTCCTGTTGTCGCAGTTGTCGCCCCTGTTGCCCCGGTCGCCCCTGCTGCCCCAGCCGCTCCAGTGGTTGCAGCCGCTCCCGCTGTAAGAATCAATTGTGCATTTGAACCTAGAAAAAGTGGATGAAACTGAAGCAAAAACAGTGGAGTGGTTTGGCAGGTGTCAGGGAGTTCAGGGCTAAAACTATAGACTTAGATCAGATTTAAAATAGTGCTGCTGTTTGTGCAGAAGTGTAAATTCACATGTGTAAACCAGACACATGTTTATAACGGACCTTTCCTGTTTGTATAATCTATGACTCATCTTTGTGGTTTCAGGCAAAGAGAAGTGACGAAGACGAGGAGGAAGAAGAAGATTAAACCTCAAGCGTCAGAGGCAGGTGACCATTACCACTATAAACATATCATACTCATGCACATTATCTGCTCCCTATTATTGACAATTATTTCTTTTGAGTGTAGCTCTACAAAGGGCAACTACCTACCACAAAAAAGCTGACAGAATTCTTGGACTATTCCCGCGTTTGGTGTTGAAATATGGTGCTATATTTTTATGTGAAATGAATTTGTGCTTTGCATCTAAATTTGGGTGTATTTGATGTGTTTGTGTGTGGTTTTCTACTATTTTTCTACAAATTTTCTATTCTTACTGTGTTGCTGCTGCTTCAAAATAAAGGCAAAGGCTTCCATCTAGTGTGTGTGTGTGTTTTATAACTATGACAGTTATGCCTGGATCATACAGCTAAAGGTGCACCATGTAACTTTAAGGTTGAGGATCTGCTACTTGCTTGTCTCCATGGAGTAATATTTCTTTGCATCGATTATTCCACAGTAGGGCATTAAGCATACTGTATCTGCCTTGCGTTTGTTCAGTTGCAGGTATTTTATAGCTCAAATGCACCTTGACAAACATGAATTCTTACTATGTGCAGGCTTGCTTCTCCATAGATCTTACCATTAACTTGTCTCCATTGTGATTACCAAGTCAAAGGCAAATCAATCAATCAAGGCAGAAAAGTAATATCTCCATGGAAACAAGAAGGCAGCGGAGCCTCCATTGAAAAAGTTACACTGTGCACCTTTAAATAACATGCTCTTCTATTTTACGCATTTAGCGAAAACAGATGCCAGGTTAAATCACTCAATAACAGTTAACTGTGGAGACGTATGGGGACATGTTTGGGGGCTATAGGGGATGGGCTCTGGGGCTTTCCAAGTGTTTCTGAATGTGTGTGCAAAGAGAACGTCATCTGTGCTGGATTAAAGGTTTATCTTTAACAGTCACCACAGAGCAGGATTGGTCTCATGTGGTGTTCATGTAAGTGTCATGTGAGTGCTTCACACATTATGATTTCTCTGGAAAAGAGCCAGCTTTGCCTCATCGACAGGTTTGCACATGCAGATAGATTTATAAAGTGGGAATGTAGGGGAGTGAGGGGGAAAAACAATTCTATTCTTGTATTATATGTGAAAAACGAGTATGAGATGCTCTGACAGTTAGGAGAGGCCCATCACATGCAGGCGTATTTGAGTTAGCTTTCAATTGCAGGACTTCACATAGAGTAAATTGTGAAAGAGCAAATTGCAAACTGTAACTGGTTATTACAAAAGCTCTGCAAACTCAAAAACACCTTTCATTAAGTTCTTTGTTTCTTCTGTTTGTCCTTGTCAGAGTCTGATCTCCTCAGAGCTCAGAGGCTAAGCAGCTTCAGGCCTGGTTAGTACTTGGATGGGAGACCAACACCAGGTGACACAGTGGGGCGCCAGTGGCAAAAACTGTCCTTGTGTCCTTAAGCAAGACCCTCCACCCATATTGCCTAGTAAGAATGTGTTGTGTGTGTGTGTGTGAGTGGTGGTCGTCGGAGCAGCTGATGGCACACATTGGCAGCCTCCCTTCTTTCAGCCTGCCCCAGGGCAGCTGCGGCTACAGTGGTATCTTACCACCACCGGGTATGGAGTGAATGAATAATGACTTTGAGCATCTGGAAAAGCACTACATAAGACTAATACACTATTATTATTACTGATGTAAAATATCTTGAAAAGTACTACATGAGTGTTATGTATTATTATTATTAACTGAGTAACAATATTCAAAACAATGTACAAGGGCAATCTAGTATATTGCAGTAAATGTCTTAAATTCTTAAATCATTGTTTTGCACCGAATCACAGTAGACACACAAGAGGAATTTGCCATTCTATTTACCAGTATGGTACTTATATTATGTGTACATTTAATTCTCTCATCAGTGGGGCTGTTCACAGTCTACTATTCGCAATGGAAGATGACTAAAGATAGTTTTAGATCTAATGTGATGATTCAGAGCTCTGCCTGTGCATTGTAACCTAACCTTGCATCCTGCAATGCAAGCCCTATGCATTCATACTATACATTATGAAGAGTAAAATTAACATAATAAACCTAATAATGTCCAGTTGCAAAATCATTATTTCAGGTACTGTAAACTGTTAAATGTTAAACTGTTACAGACATTAAGACATTGTCACTCACCACAGTCCATTGCGTGTCTGTGTAGCCAAATATCGGACAGTACTTACCTTATAACATAATATTATAACTTATAAATAGAACAATTGATGCAGGATTTATGTTTCCACAGACACACATCCTATGTTGTTGCTGAAGTAGCACAGGATCAGCCTGGCATAAGCAGTGGGCAGAGTGCCACTGCTCTAGACTCTGTAATCAACAATAGTCTGCTATTACACAGAAAGTGGATATGACCACAGGTAGTTTACTAAAGCTGAAGACTAGACACCTCAACCTACTCATCTGATAACATCATCACAGGGCTCTGATTGGCTGAAGGGTCTTCTTGAACCCTACAAAAGCCATCACTAGGTCTGTAATATTTTACCACTGGACCTTACCACAGAGACTTTGACAGGGGAGCATCAGGTAAGCACTGGGACATTCACTTAGCATTGTCTTTGGTATATTGTAATTGACCACACAGTCTTTTACATTTATTTCAGGGCAAGCACACAGAGAAAAAATGAAAGTGGCCTTGCTGTGTCTGTGCTTGGCGAGCACAGCCTTCGCTGCACCGGTAAGGACTGAAGGTCTTATATATATATAGAAACAGAATGGACGAATGGACAGAAGGACTAATTTTTATTCATGAAAAATTATATTTATAACAAGGATCTGTGTGTGTTTTAGACTATATACATAATCTTGATGCAGTCTGTGGCTGAAATAGATTATGATCCTGATACAGAGTACTGTATATCCATATATCATCAGCCTTTAAAGTGCTATGATTAAGGGGCCCGGAGTTATTGCCCACACAGCCCTTTTCTGTGAAATACACAGTTTCCATGTACCAAAATACTTGTTTATTTGCAGTCATTCTTTCATTACCTGCCTCATTATACGGGCTCCAGGCAAGTGCCGCCCTCTCAGGTAATGATGCATCCTGTTTCTCAGGACAAATTATTCTAAAGTGCAGGAACTGCTTTTCCAATTACAAAAAACACTCTCTTTAATGGAAGCTGTTTATATGTTTAAGGTGAAAAATCTCTTTCCTGGTGCTCCAGCTATACCACAGACTGGAGTCCCTGGTGCTTATAGCGTGGAGCTGGTGAGTAAACACTCCACATCTCAATGACAGACACGGCATGTTTCATTTATTTTAATGCTGATGATTTTTATAGATTTATCCTCACACATTTGGTGGAGCTGCAGTGGGAGGACCAACTGCTGGACAGGTAAATCACACGAGACACAAGTACTGAAGTATTTTCTGTGGAGATGTTGCAGCAATAGTAACAGGAATACTACTGAGTAAAATGAGTGGTAGCATTGCTACTACTCGATTTGAATACTTCTTTCACCTGTTTGTATTTGTTCGGTCCCCTCTGTTGTGGAGTGCTTTTGTTCATGCTCGTCCTTTGTGTTTCTGTGCAGACATTCCCCACCCAGGGTTTCATCAAATATTCAATCCCTCAGCCCCCAGGCAGACAGAGCGTTGAAGTCGTAAGTGTTACCTTGTTTTCCACATTTTCTATTCTGTTTTATATCAATTTATGTTTATGTTCATGTCTCTTTTCAGTACTACCCATATGATTTTGCACAGCAGAGGGTAAGAATCTTAAAAAAAATAAAAAAAATAAAATAAAAAAAATAAAAAAATCATTAAAAAGTTAAACTTTTGATAATAATAATTAAAAAAATGTTGAATTGCTTTTTAATTTTGATTTCAGATAATTACAAACATACCCCCGATGTCAAATATTCCTCACACCCCCAATGTAAGACACATTTTCATGATATCAATATTTCAATTTTTTATTTATTTTTTTGTCCTAAGTCTAAGGATTTTACAAATCTGGTATTCACTGTGTTTCCATTTTCTATCTACACTGTGGTGTCCCACAAGCATCTGTCTTTGACCCATTTGATTTCAACATGTTTTCATTTCTAATATTAATCCTGTGATTAGCAGTATCCAATAATATCCAGTGGTTTTGGCACTTTTAAAGTAACTTTGTGACCATGAATTTTTCAGGTATTGCCATTTGACTTTCCACCTCCAAGTATCCCTCAGCTGCCTCAAAATGTGAGAGGAGTTCATCCTTCACGTCTCATCAGAATCACTGAGGTGTTTGAGATTTATAGTGTTGTGTCTGTTTCTAGATTCCTGCGTTTGATGTAAAGCCACTTCCATCCCAGCTCCCTCTGAACCAGGCCCAGCAGGACCAACCTGTCCAGACCAGCCAGGTAGATTCAAATGCACACACAACATATGGGCATAGGGAGTATGTTTTTTGTAAACATTTACATTTGTTCTCTTTAGGCGCCGGCCAAGGTTTAAAGTGAATGGAACAACAAAGTCACACTTCTTTTGGACAATAGCCATGATGAAGACTCACAGAACTGCAAAAAAATATACAAAATGTATGTTTCAAAGTAGCAGTCTTTCCTTATCCCTTTTTATTTTAACTTTAACACTTTGTAGTATGTTTCTTATCTTGGATTAATTTAAATAACTCTCACATCGCTTAAATGGATTGTTTTAAGTAAATAAAGTTTTCAAGCAAGCCTTTGTTTACTGTCATTTTATGGCTGTTACAACAAGCCTGGAAAAAGTCAGACCTTCTTAAAGGATTCATACAATGTTGTTTTCTCATCACAAACATACCTGGAGTTGTGTTTTGTTTCACAGATATTTAACACATAAACCATGAATATGGTTTATTCTCTCAAACAGAAAACAATCAAACTCTACTCCACTTCCACCTTGTGATGTCATGTGGTAATACAGAAAGTGCTCCACTCCACTCTATACACCTTCACTAGAATAATTTGGACAATTTCAGCCCTGGAATTGCTAATCTAAGGGTAAAAAGTAAAGTAGCTGATAATTTGGCATCACAAGGTGTAAGAGAACATTTTGTGCTTTGGAGATGAAAACAGCTAATAACAAACTCAAACCTGTGTGAATGAAACAAAACACAACCCATGTTTTTGAAGATCTAACAACATTATAACATGACATAAAGCTCACAAGAATCCATTTTGTGTAATATAAGACCTTTAAGAGTAATTGCAGTGCTGTCTTGAGCTGTATACAAATTCATTCATTCAACTTATAACACAGTCTATGATTCTGCAAACTTAAGAATAATTGTAACATGGTATGTGCATGCATTTTACATGGAGAGAACATCATAATTACAACACACTATAAAAATAAAAGCCTGCAGTGATTTTGTACATTCCTCCACAAAATAAACAACACACACAAAAAAGAAAAAGAAAGAAAAAAATGGAAAGAAAAGAAAAAAATCCACAGTTCCTCGAGGGCATGAGCCTGTCACAGCACTGCTTAACACTTATCTTTTCAAAAGTACCTAAAACAGAGGCGCCGAGCTCTCACGCTACACTGTCTCATCCTCTCTCCTGGAACATCAATATGTATAAATACACACAGCCACATCAGAGTGAAGATGATAAGTGATAATTTACCTCCACCTCTCCAGGCTTTATATTAAAACTTCTTGAACGGCGTCAGACAAATAGATAGTGAAATACTGCCTGCATCAGATAAGGGACCTGAGTGGAGCCTGCGTCCATAAAGATAAATTAATGAAAAATCTCAAAACAGTGTCTGGGGGAATTACAGGTGAGTTGATAAAGTGCAGATATTGTCTCACAGTCTGTACCACCTGTTTTGTCAGATGTTCTTCAAACTTGTATGTATATTCTTAAAGGCCCTATATTACCCATAATTGACTCTTGTGAGCTTAAAGCCATAGTAGCATGTTGTAACCTCTTCAAAAACATACCTGGAGTTGTGGTTTGTTTCAATCGCATGTGTTTGAGTAATCCTGGATTGTTAGAGTGTCTACATCTCCAAAGCTCAAAATGCACTGTTTCTCTTTATGATGTGTTGAAGTGGTAGCTCCTTTAATTTTTGTTCAGTGGAGATTGACAGTTCCAGGGCTGAAATCATACAAATGATTCTAAAAAAACAAAACAAAACAGTGGCACATTGCCTGTATTACCACATGATTCCCATTGCCTAGTATGAAATTGGTGTTTGAGTGGTCAGATGCTGCAGATTGGCAGCCTTGCTTCCATCAGTCTGCCCAGGGCATCTGTGGCTGCTGTAGTAGCTTACCATCAGTATAGAGTGAATGAACCATACTGTAAAACAAGGACCAAAGCCCAATAATTATTTGACAAATAAAAATACATTTTGTTAGAAGGTTTAAACTATTTTAAAAATGCCTCCACACCACAGACTGTATAAACAAGTGGACTAAGAGAGTGTGATGCATCCACAGCATCAAATGAAGCTCGCAATGCCAGTGGTTACAGGGGGGAATTTGGAGTCAGGCTCTATATTATGAATAGGATTATTGCATCGGACAAAATTGTAGAAAAAACACCAGAATCATGTAGCGCAGGTTAAAATGGACATTTTAAGACCAGAATGACAAGGTTCACTGCAGCAGTTACAGAGAGATGGGTGACAATATTGTAATGTAAGTCAATGGGAGCCAGGGTCAGTAGGAGCCGGAAAAGCCGCATGTGAACTTACTATTTGGAATGTGGCGGCTATTGGGTTAGCTATGTCCATTTATATATACAGTCTGTGCTCCATGCACATAAATTGTTCCAGCATTTTGATAGGAATTTTTGGTGTTGATGAAGTAGAAGTATTCTGTTTTAGAACTCACCACTACTTACTGTACTTTTGTACTTTATTTCCACAGATTGACACTTGACACTTGTTAATGTATGATAAATATTTACCACAGGTACTATTCCACAAACCAAGCAATAAATAGTTTTCAGGTTTTAAATTTCCCAGTTTGTCTAGTACAAATACTGTTTTAATGTTCTAAGCTCAACATATGTGAAGAAAAAAATGGATGTAAAATTTACTCCCAAAACCTGAGCGATTGGTCACTGTTGAACTCCATTTCAGTGTTGATACTTATACACATAGACAGCAGCAAGAGACTGTAAGAAAGAAGTTGACAATAGTGTGTCTTACAATAGTGAAAGATCAAAAGGTCTAAATTCTCTAAAATCAAATACATGACCAAGATAGGTCTAACCATAGACTAATAAGTGGACTAACTGAGTGTGACGTCACCCACAGTGTTCGACTCCAGTCAAACTAAACTCTCAAGTCCAGCGGTTACAAGGGCGAAAGAATCTGGAGTCAGGTCCATATAAAGAATAGGAATTTATTTACAAACAAAATATTGAAATAAAACAGCGGGATCATGTAGAGAGGGTTAACACGAACATTTTAAGAGCAAAATGTCGAGCTTCACTGCAGCAGTTACAGAGAGGTGATAGTTTTTCAGTGTCACTTGGAACAGATGGAGCAGGAAGTGTCCCCTGGCTCACTTCCACTTTGGAACGCCGTGGCTAGTGGGTTAGCTATGCCCATTTATATTTACAGTCTACGGGACTAACACAAACTTTCAGTTTTTTCTTTTTTAAAGCTAATGTTTTGTTACACTGACCGTTAGCAATGCAATGATGTCATGTCACTGAACTCTCATGGTCCTGGCAGTTATGGTCTCAGTGTGCTTACAACCATTTGTCTTTTTTTAGAATAAAATGATGATAAAATGTAAAAGATTAAAGTTGATCTACCACATGGCGTGGAGTGTCTTTTTGGTGTGCATACGTCTGTGGATTGGAGGTTGAGCTCTTGGCATCTTTTCACAAAACCAGTTGAAGAAAGGATGACGGTCCTGACAGTAAGAGTAAACAAAAGTACATTTTTAGGTTATAACAAAGTATGACTCAGCAAAACCATATGTCAAAGTGCTAACAGTAAAGCTAACTTGCACTAAAAGAAACATATTATTCAGAATATATATGAGATATGAGATATATTTGTAATACTATATTTGTGGTTTATACATTTTTTACGTGTCCATAAGTAAAGTACTTGTCCATATATTATATAATTATGCCTTATTTGACACCAGTCTCTTGCTATTTTTGCTACTCAAAGCTGTATATGGAGTGGTTTGTGCATGTTTGTAGCAAGTCTCCTGCATTTAAGACTGTATTGCGCAGACAACTCATGTTTTCACCAATCCCCGGTTCACGCCCACTGCCCTTTACTTATTTTCTTCATATTCAGCCAAACTGCATAGCCATCTTACCACAAAATACTACTGTACACAACTCACTGGTGAGATGTGCAGCTATAGGAGGACTACGTTTTTGGGCAGGTGGAAATCTGTATGCTCTTTTCCAGCTGTTTTGGAGATAGAAAGGTTTAATTATATACTCCATAACATCCCAAACAAAGCAATAACATCTACACAGAGACAAAAGTTTCATAGTATAGGTGACATTAAAGAAATACTAGAGATGGGACTTTCAGCTCTTTTATGGGATCCAACTCTTTTGGATAAATTCACTTCAAAAGACTGACTCTTTACTATTTATTTATGTGACAGAAGCCAATGTGAGACTCTTTTTATCCACAAACTAATCACAGAGAGAGAAATGACCAAGGCTCAGATCTGTTTAAAATGGTTCAAACTGAGAGCGAAGTGTGTTTACCCTTTGGAATGATGAAGAGTCTAAATAAAACATTACATTACAATAATAATAATTTAAAAAACTAACTGTTTTTAAGATGCCAAATATATTTTTGTGCACAAAGCCCTCACATGTTGCCTCCTCTGTCTCTGTGCTGGCTCTTGTGTTGGTTCAGTGTCAATCAGGATAAAAATGCATAAAACTAGAAATAAAAAGATTCAGTTCTTTTGAAACATCACACCACTCAGAAGAGCTGACTTGTTCACAAACATCACATCACTAAGAAATATGAAGATGCCTAAATTAACCCAAATTGGAATAACACTCGAAGTTTTGAAAATCAATTATAAGCCAATTACAACTTTTCCTTGAAGTATATACTTTCAGTTAGCAAACAAATGTTTATCTAAAGGGAGGGAAGAAACCCACTTGAGTGAAATCCACGCGCTCAGCAGGTTGGATATAGATATGACTGAGAGGCAAATCAAACACAGAAACAATGATGATGATGATGATGGCAATCACCCAAAAAGAAAAGAAAAAACTCATAACTGAGAGTGTTTATGGAGCTTGTGTCAATCATCCAGGAGCCTGTCTGCACTCAGTGACATGGACGAGACATGAGTCATGTGAGACGATACAAGATGTCACTCTGTGCTGCCTCAGGACCTTCCTGTCATTAACATCCTATTATCATTAGACCAATTTTTGGGTTAACTTTTAATCCGCACTTATCACCAGAGGCATGTGCTTGTGTCAGCGCTAACCGCTTTGTTTGGTTTAGGGCAATAAAGAGGGCCATGTATGCTAAGCCAACCTGCAGCATGTAATTAAGTGTAAGAGGGGCCTTATGCATGCCTCCCTTTCACTTTTGAAGTGAGGGGCATTTCTTCAAACAGCCATGTGCGCCTCATGTGATTGGCTGTCAAAGGATGTTCTGGGATATAAATGGCATCCTTGAAGGAGATGGAATAGATTAGCTACCAACGCCGACACATCTTCTGTTTTCCCTCCTGCACACAACAGGTAAGACTTTTTTTTAATAGAATTTTAGAATTTCTATCTTTATGGTTTTATAAATACTACAACAGTTTACAAGTTGATGGTTCTCTTAATTAATAGTGCATATGAAACATGTGTTTGCTGTCTGAATGTTGTGCTTAGGTAAATTAGACTGCATATCAAATAAAGTATTGCTAAAATCTTATTTTTATATTCTCTTAGGCTTTCAGAATGATCTTGGTGGTGATTGCGTGTCTGCTGGTCGCTGCCAGAGCTGCTCCTGTAAGTCCAATAACTTATTTGGTTTGTTGACTCAGCTATCTTTATGTATGTAAACATTTTTTCTTATGGTCAGTGCACAAAGTGACCCCTTTATTTCTGTTCTTTGGTATTCAGGCTCCGGCGAGTGAAAGTAATGAGGTAAACAAACACACTGTATAAACTTAGAGTAACATAGTCTGGGTGAGCCATGACATGTCTGAGACTGTCTGCGTCTACAACAGTAATAGGACTATCAGAGCCACACAGTAATTGGTTTTACTGAGAAGTATGTCTGGAACTGTCTGGTATTTCTTTAGCAGGTAGCGGCCCATGCTAATGAAGCCCTGCGCTGGATGGAGATGTACAGGATGTATCAGCAACAGGCTAGTTCTCCCTCTTTACAGAGCAGTAATGAGCTAACTGATAATGTTGGTCAATAACCATTACTGTTTCTGTGTGTTTGCAGGGGGTGGTGAATCCCTTCCTCCCGGGAGATGCACCTGTGAGTTATTTTAACTGTACCATAACACTGTTCATGAATCATATTTCATATCAAAACAACTGAACTGAATTATGAACATTTCCAGGCTGATCCAGCTGCCAGAGCTCCACTGGTACAGGTTAGTTCAGTGTAGTCCCCTCTCAGTGATCTTGTGCTGCTGCTGTACAGTGAGTGGTCTCTGTGTACAGGTGGATGCAGCCCCCGCGGCCGCAGCAGCCCCTGCAGAGGAAGTGTCTGAGGAGGAGGCAGAGGTGTGTGATACTTAAATGTTACTTATATACTACTGTGAAAACGACGTCTTTTACTACATTTCACAACAGCCATTAACCCTCAAAATCATCGCTGTTCCTCTATACCGGCCTTCATGTAGGTTAAATAAGGTGCCTCATACTTCTCTGTTATTTTCCTTTCCTCAACAGGTTTCTGTGAAAACATAGGCTAAAGGTGTAATTATCTGATTTTACAATAATCATAAAAAGTGCTTTCAAAAGGTCTCACTTAGAGAGTCCTTAGTAAGCAGACAGAGTGGGTGGGAAGCACAACACGAGAGACAGATTAACGTCAGACATCCAGCCTTGAGCTTGCAGTAAAAATCTCCTTATAATTAACCTGCTCTGTCATTTATAATGTTTGAGCAGGAATGCATATGCTTTATGTTGACATATTTTGTTCTACTTGAATCCAGGAGGGGGCTGCCCCCAAAGCAGCTGCTGCTGGTGGTGCCCCTGTGAACTCCGATGAACAGGAGGAGGTGGAGGAGGCAGAAGCTGCTGAGGCTGAGCCCGCCGCTGCGGACCCCGCCCCTGCCGACCCTGCCCCCGCTGACCCCGCCCCGCTGACCCCGCCCCGCTGACCCAGCCCCACTGGAGCCGGTTGTGGTGGATGTCCCGGTGGTGGTGGAAGTCCCGGTGGTGGTGGACGCCCCGGTGGAGGTGGTCCCCGTGGACACCGGTGCAGTTGATGTCGCTCCTGTAGATGTAGCTCCAGTGGATGTAGCTCCTGTGGACGTGGCCCCTGTGGACGTGGCCCCTGTAGATGTGGTCCCGGCAGTGGACGCTCCAATCGCAGCTGATGCAGATCCTGGTCTGGTTCCTATCGCATAATTGTGTTATGTTTTGTGTTGCCTGCGCTGGATACATGCTATTTAAATACATATAAAGGTGCTGCATGTTAAGCAGGCAACAATTAGAAAGTCTATGAGAAAAAAATATTAGCCTGTTGTTTGTATTTTTGTAAAGAAAAGGTTTGCCACCAGTGTTTTCTTTATTTCATGAATAAAGATTTTTTGCTATTATTAATTATTCTTATTTATAAATCCGTTCCTAACAGCCACATACACATCCTCATGAATATTAAACAGACCGTCATAAAACAAGAGAAGAAACTACTAGTAAATAAGTTATTAATATCAGCCCACAGGGGGAGCCACTGCACCACAGAAGCTCGGTCCACTTTTACCACTGACTGCTGTTAAGATTTCAATTAAACAACTGATCCCAAATCAGCCATGGGGCCGGACTAATAGGATCAGCCTGGGATGGAGCGAAAGTGCTGACTCCGCAGGAGGAGCCTGTGGTTCATTAAAGCCCCTGAACTGTTCCGCAGATGGGCAGGAAAATTACAAATTGTCTCAAATAAAACGGGACACGAAATGGTTTCCACTTGTCTGGTTTCAATATAGATTAATTAAGCACTTTGAAGAAGCTGAACACGGGGCCTACTGTATGAGTAAATTAGGACAATGTACTTTAATTTTCCCATCGGTCTGTAATCCAAAAATCCCTATCAGGGTCACTAATACGACAGCATGACACAGAAGGGAGACGCGCGGTGGATACGTGATACTTGTGGAGCCTGATTATGAAATACGACAAAAATGATTAGTGCAATTATGGCTGCAAACAGATGGATTTGATATTTCTCACGAGAGAGAGCAGCAAATGGATGTCACCGTGCGTTAAACAAGAGAACAAGGTGAGCTCATTAGAATCACACTGTGTGGCAATGTCTAATTAACACTTAGATTAGATTTTATGAAATATAGGCTGCCTCGCGTGCAGAAGTGTATTTAAGGCATTTTAGAGCAGAAAATATTTTAAAGATATTTTTCCTTTCCATAAATAGTTCTGGATTAGACTTTGACAAACTATTGACCCACAAGGGAAACTATTTGGACACAGTAGCTCACACATCACAATATAACATATGATTATAGCAAAAAACAAACATATAAATGGTAATAATAAATTAAAAATAAGTGGTAAATATAGCAAGAGACTGGTATCAAATAAGGCATAATTATATAAATGTATGCGAAGTTAAAATAAAATAATTGCTATTTCACAAACTTACCAAATCTATAAGCTGTAACAATTAAGAAAATAATAAAAATATATAAATACAAATTAGCAATATAGTGGTAACCATAGAAACATGAAACACAATCCTTTAGCCTAAAATAATGCACATTTTATAGGCTAGAAATGTTTTATACTGTTTAATGATAAGATAAATTCTAAATAACTTATTATTATAATGATCTTGAATACCAGTTTACTGCAATACACAGTATCAAAGGCTATTATTAACTGTGAAAAAATGGAAGTACATTTATGAGTACATTCTCAAACACAGCATTATTTTCTTTTCATTTGTGATATCAGATCAGCTGTCATGGCAACCCCAAGCTCTCTTCTCCTGCCCATCCCCGCACCTCTCACCTCAGATGAAGAGTGCAGTGAAGAAGATGACGATTTGTGAGAACATTTTCAGACTATATTACACCTTTAATGGAAAAAAAAAAAGTAATGTAGATAGAATTCCTTTTGTTTTCAGGACTGAGCTCAATGGTTCCTTTGGCTTACTCAATATGAACAACTGCAACAACAATGAAGAGTAGGTACAACGGAGGAGAGGCGGTATTCACTGATGTTAAATGTCAATTTGTGCTTGAATGTTTTATCCTGTCTTTTACAGGGAGAAAAAGAAAAAGAAAAAAAAGGACAAAAAAGAAAAGAAAGAGTAAAGTTTTTATTTTTATTTGTGAAATTGCTTATGCTTAAAGGTGGATACACTGTCAAATTTAATGGTGCACTATGTAACATTGGAGGGTCCACTACCTGTTTGTCTCCATGGAGATGCTATTGCTTTGTCTGTAATGTTCCACAGTCTTCATTTATTTCATTATGGTTTTATTGCTGAATAATACAGTGAAAAACATGCATTCTTACTATGATCAGCGTGGCCTCTCCACAGATATGACATGTAACCTGGCCCGCTTCTGTCACTCACTGGTCTCCATGGGGATAGACAAGAGTAATGCCAAAACACAGTGCACCTTTAAAGGTCCTGTATAACACAAAAATTACACTTGTGACCGTTTGGCCATGTTGTAATGTTGCCAACTCATAAAAAAACATACCTGATGTTGTATTTTGTTTCATTCACACATGTTTGAGTAACATTTTTATTACTCTCCCTACATCTCCAAAGCTTAAAATGCTCTGTTTGTGCACATTGTGATGTCATGAAGTGGTAGTTTTCAAGGTAACAGCTACCTTTTACCTTTAGTTCAGCAGAGATTGACAATTCCAGGTCTGAAATGATCAAAAGTGAATATAGAGTTTAAAAATACAGTGGAGCACTTCCTATATTACCACATGACATCACAAGGTGGAGCAGAGAGTTTTGAACTGAATATTGATTTGTGTGTTAAACGTGTGAATGAAACAAAACAAAACTCCAGATATATTTTTCATGAGGAACATAATAACAGATCAGAAAATAGCATAATATGGGCCTTTACTGTGAGTTACAGAAAGAAGGAACGAGAGAAAAAAGAGCAAGAGGAAAGAGAAGCCAAAGAAAAGGAGCTAAAAGAAAAGGAGGAGAAGGAGAAGAAAGAGAAAGAAAAGGAGAAAGAAATGTATGTGAACTTAATGCACTCTGAGTCTCAATTCTCTGGTGTTTTTGGCTATTCACACTCCTTATTTTCTTGTGCCACTTCCAGGCCAAAGGAACTCTTCGTGATAAACCCAGCAGGAAATCTCTATTACAACTGGCTTTTCATTATCACACTTCCAGTCATGTACAACTGGACCATGATCATAGCAAGGTGATGTCCAGTTGAGTTGTTTCATTATAAAAAGAGCACTGGATATGTCGGCCTTAAACGCATGCTTATACAATACTGTTAAGTGTCAGTCCTATATTTGTCACACCATTAGAGGAAAATAACAGCTATAAATGTAGGAGAACAGTGTGGTTAGAAAAATTGCAGTAGAAGTGGTTGTTGTTAAAGTGAGGGTTATTTGTAGTGTTCTGTTATCACAAAAAGCAGTTTTTTTTATTTTGTTTTTGACAATATGAAATCAAAAATCGAAATTGATCAATATGAGAAAAAAATGTGATTCCTTTTTTTTTTTTTTTTTTTTTTTTTTTTCATATTATCCAGCCCTGCTTTGAAAGTGAATGACACATTTAGATTTTTTAGAGATGCACAATGTAACTTTTCCGGTCCAGGAAGAGGAGAGTATTTCCATGAATATTGTCATAATCTGTCTCTATTCAGACAAGAAGGTGGTGCCACCAGGCCAAATTACACGTCAGACCTATGGAGAGTCAAACACAGTATAAATGCATGTATTTTAATGCATTTTAGCTATAAAAACCCCGGTAACCAAATACATGCAAGACAGATAATAACAGATTGTGGATAAAAGCAAACTGTGTATCCTCCACAAACTGGAGATTTGACTTTAACCTGATAAAATACTGGGAAACAGCTATAAAACATTGCAACTATGTTTACACAATGTTAAACTATATCAGTACTAGAAATAAGTAAGCTTATTAAGCTAATACTAACTTCTGAACTATGCACCAGGTACTTCTAAGAATCATAATTTCTGATTGATTTACCACAACACACCAGAGGAAGAGATAACAGCAATTAATTTGGTGTCTGCTAAGAGTAATTTTCTTTGCTTGGGTGCGTGATGAAATGTCAAAGCAAAATGTCTCATTTTTCTCAAGCAATTTTTTCATAAGGTTGGAAATGTAATCAAATAGACTGAGACCTCAGAGCTATAATTAAATAAAACAAACAAACACATGTCTACAGACTGACGGGGAAAGTTTAATGCTGGTTTGTCTCCATCCACCTCTTGTTGTGCCACAGGGCCTGCTTTGAGGAGTTACAACACAACTACATCCTTTACTGGGTTCTACTGGACTACTCCTCAGACCTCATCTACCTGGCTGACATGTTCTTCAGGACCAGAACAGGTTAGAAAAAAAATCAAAGGGGCTATAAGTAGTCTGCTTTCATAGCATATTACCTTATCAAATACATGTTTGGAGTTGTGTTTTGTTTCATCCACATGTTTGAATAATCATTTATTACTAGTCTGTAATCTCCAAACTTCAGAATGCCTTGTTCCACCTTGTGATGTCATGTGGTAGTTTCCAAGTTAACAGCAGCTACCTTTTACATTTGTTTAAATTGGTAATTACAGATCTGAAATTATTCAAATGATTCTAATGAAGGTGTATGGAGTTTCAAAACACAGTGGAGCACTTCCTATATTACCACATGCCATCACAAGTTGAAACAGTGTTTTCTGTTTGAGAGAAGAACTCAGCCTAAATATGCAGGATTATTGTGTTAAACAAGTGTGAATGAAACACAACTCCAGGTATGTTTTGAATGAGGAAACAACATTAGAATATAGCTGAATATGGGCCCTTTAACATGCAGAAAGAGGAGGAAAAGTTGTTCTCATTCTCAGAATATGAACAGGCCATGTCTCCTGTGAAAGCCCAGAACCTCCACAGTTCACAAACACTGATTAATGGATGGCTGCACTGTGTTGCGGTTCAGTGAGGATTCAGCTCAGAGAGTCCTTGAAGGTTTAAAGTGGATTTCAGCATTGGAATTGGCAACCCAAATTTGAGACTCGTGTGAGGCTCTTTCTGCTTTCTGTTAATTATCATGAGAAGCAAAATATCAAATTATAACATAAATGATTAGATTTGATTAGAAACACTTTACTATCCTGAAGGAAATTCATTTCAGGCAGCACAATACATAGATAATAATAACATAATAACAATAACATGAGTTCAATTATAGTGAAGTGTTATTATAGCCCTATGGCATGTGGAACGAACCACTTCCAGAGTTTGTGCACAGAGCAGGTCAGAGACAAGAGCCTGTCCCCAAAACTACTCTCCTGTCCTGTGATGGTGCTGTACAGGGGGTGCTGGGGATTATCCAGGATGGACAGGAGCTTGTTTAAGGCCCTCTTCTCAGCCACAGATGTGAGTGATGTGAGCTCTGCACCCACTACAGATCATGTCTTCCTCACCAGCTAATCCAACCGCCCAGTGTCCTTCTTCTTGAGGCTTTCTCCCCAGCAAACCAGAGCTGAAGAAGACAATGGAGATGGCTAGTAGATGACTGGTAGAACATCAGCAGGAGCCTCTGACAAATGTTAAAGGATCTCAGCCTTCTGAGAAAATACAGCCTGCTCTGTCCCTTTATGTACAGCAGATCTGTATTGTCAGACCAGTCCAGTCTATGGTCGAGCTGTAGGCCCAAATATTTATGCAGCTGTGGCCTGCTCCTCCTAAAGTCCACCACCATCTCTCTGTTTTTTACAGTGTTCACTTGAAGGTGGTTAGTCCTGTACCACAGCACAAAGTCGTTAATAAACTGCCTGTACTCCCCTTTGTCACTGTTGCTGATGTACCCCATAATGGCTGTCATCAGACTTCTGCATGTAACACAGCTTTGAGTTGTAGTCGATGTGTACAGGGTAAACAGAACTGGTGACAGTACAGTTCCCTGTGGAGTTCTGGTTTTGCAGACAGCAGTGTCAGAGATCCTGCCCCCCAGTCAGACATACCAAAGTCTCCTAGTGAGGTAATCTGTAATCCAGAGATGAATCCACTCCCATCTCGATTAGTTTGTTTTCGTGCACAGAGTTTGGATGGTGTTCAATGGAACAGTCAGAAATGATGAATGGGAGGATAAAGGATGAGGATTTTTGGGGACAGGAAAAATACAAGATGAATGCAATCATGTGAAATGTTTTTGCAATTAAGAATAAATCAGCATTAAAATTGTTACCAGCAAATGCGATATTTGATATGTTTACCTCGAATCTGAGGACACAGATAGGTCAAGTTTAAGAAATTTTAAATCAAAATCGTACATACAGTTCCTTTAACATGATGGAAAATTAAAGGAAAATTTTAAAGCATGGACTGATTAGTAAATTTGCAAACCAATCGTAATTTTAAATCAAGGTGTAGGAAATGTGATTATTGCATAAATTGTAATTGTGATGATTGATCCTTTTTGATGAATGCAGGTTATCTTGAGCAAGGCCTTCTAGTGAAAAACGAGCAGCTGCTCAAAGATCGCTACTTCTCCAGTTTCCAGTTCCGCCTGGACGTGATCTCCATGCTCCCAACTGACATCTTGTATCTGTACTACGGAATAGACTACCCAGAAATCCGCATCAACAAACTGCTACGAATAGGCCGCATGATGGAGTTCTTCACCAAGACTGAAACAAAAACCAACTATCCAAACATCTTTCGCATTGCTAACCTCATCATGTACATACTTATTATTATCCACTGGAACGCCTGCCTCTACTTCTCCTTCTCCAAGTCCATAGGGTTTGGGGCGGATGACTGGGTGTATCCTGCTTTGGACAATCCTGAAGAGCCAGAGTTTGGTCAGCCAATGAGGAAGTATGCATTTAGTTTATACTGGTCCACACTGACTCTTACAACCATTGGTGAAACTCCACCGCCAGCCCTGGACTCTGAGTTCCTCTTTCACGTGGTGGACTTCCTGGTTGGTGTCCTCATCTTTGCCACGATAGTAGGAAACATTGCCACGATGATCTCCAATATGAATGCAGCCCAAGCCCAGTTTCAGTCCAGGATAGACAACATCAAGCACTACATGCAGGTATGTTTATCAAACGCCTGCTACAAAAGTACTTTGTTATTTTGTTAAACAGATTAGAAGAAGTCTTAAAGCATATACACAGATAAGAATATCTCCCAAGCTCTTCACAAATTAGAAATAAATGTCAATATGTGTAAATATGCAGAGTTTGCGTGTTAAAGGGACAGTTCAGAATTTTGGACATAAGACCTCATTTCCGACTGAGCCAGAGTGTTGGAGACGTGTGAAGATGCTTTTAAATATTCCATCCAGTCCTTGTATTTGCAGAGGTCGCTGGTGCTAGGCTAGTGCATGTCAATGGCCATAGTTATCCTGCCACTAAAAACAGTCTTACCCACTTCACAAAGCACCCAAAGCAAATCTATTATTATGCCAGACTGTCTACGTGAATATCTGTGTCGATAGAATAAGTTTAGATTAGGATTTATGTCTGAGCAGCAGCAGCGAGTTGTACTTCCTGATAGAAAGCTTGGCAGCGGTGGACTGATATATGAGAAAATAGTCCCTCAACATGCGATGATTCATACGATGCAAAGTTAGTTTTATTTCAAACATTATTCTATCAACACAGACAATCACATCGACAGTCTGGCTTAGTAATAGATTTGCTTCGGGTGTTATGTGGAGTGGGTAAGACTGTTTTTAGAGGCAGGATAACTATGGCCATTGACATGCACTAGCCTAGCACCAGCGACCTCTGTAAATACAAGGACTGGATGGAATATTTAAAAAAGCATCTCCATATGTCTTCAACACTCTGGCTCACTAGGAAATGAGGTCCTATGTCCAAAATTCTGAACGGTCCCTTTAAAGATGAAACAACACAACTCCAAGTATGTTTGTGATGAGGAAACATTATGACATCAGAAAATATCAGAATGTCAAAATCTGAAAATAGTAATATGAAAAATCTGAAAAGTGTAATATGGCTCCTTCAAAAAAGATGGACCAATTAATTCAGATAACTTTCAAAATATTTCAAAATAACTGCATGTGTAGGATAAACACTTCTGTTCATCTCAGAAAAAAAATGCAGAACATAAAATGCTGTCCAATATAAATTTTCTAGAGGAGGTCAGACTACCAGCCTGTCTTCATGTAGATGCTACGGTTTTGTCAATAATGTTTCACTGTATGGGATTAAACTTTTCTTTTTCAATGGAGACAAGAAGATGGGGCCTCCAAACCATGCCACAGGTTAAATCTGTGGAGGTGTAAGCCCTGTGGTGGTAAATGGTCACATTTTTATACAGCGCTTTTCCACCTTCAAGATACTCGAAGTCCTTTATGTCAAGGAACCACTCACACATTCACACACACACATTCAGAGTATGCAGAGTCTGGGGGGTGGTGAGTTAAGTGTCTTGCCCAAGGACAGAATGGCAGTATTTATCTTTTGGAGTTGGGATCGCACTGGCAACCTTTGGGTCAGTGAATCTCAAGAATGAATGAATGTGGTTCCAGGTTGTTGTTTTTTTAACAATACAACATGTGTAATTTAACAAATGCAAAATTGAAATGCCACACTGTGGAACAATCTAGCAATAACATCTCCATGGACATAAGCAAGTATCATCCATCCACCAGAAAAATTATATAATGTATGTTTAAAGTGAAAAAACAAAAAAACAAAAACAAAAAAAAACGGCAAAAACTAATATTTTTATGCCTTTCTTACAGGTACGAAAGGTGAGCAAAGAACTGGAGGAGCGTGTCATAAAATGGTTCGACTATTTGTGGAACAACGGTAAAGCCCAGGACGAGCGAGAAGTCCTGAGGTACCTCCCTGACAAACTGAGAGCCGAGATCGCCATCCAGGTTCACATGGACACTCTGAAGAAAGTTCGCATATTTGCAGACTGTGAGGCAGGTCTACTCATTGAACTTGTACTAAAACTGCGCCCCCAGGTGTTCAGCCCGGGCGACTACATCTGCAAGAAGGGCGACATCGGACGTGAGATGTACATCATAAAAGACGGGAAACTGGCTGTAGTCGCTGATGATGGTGTGACTCAGTTTGTTGTATTGGGCAGTGGTAGCTACTTTGGTGAAATCAGTATCCTCAATATTAAAGGAAGCAAAGCAGGAAATAGAAGAACAGCTAATATTCGGAGTATTGGGTATTCCGATCTTTTTTGCTTATCCAAAGATGACCTGATGGAGTCCTTGACAGAGTATCCGGACGCCAAGGCTATGCTGGAGGAAAAGGGGCGGCAGATTCTCTTGAAAGACGGTCTCATTGATTTGGACCCTGCAAATATCAAGCCAGAAGTTAAAGAGCTTGAGGAGAAAGTTAATAAGCTGTACGGTACAATGGAGCTGATGCAGATCAAGATCAAAAAGATACTGGTGAATTACGAGTCCACTGAGACAGCTCTTAAACATCGGCTCTCAGACTTGGAGAGAATGACAGGAGAGCCAGTGGAGGATGACGAGGAGGAAGAAGAGGGTAAAACGGTTGAGGAGATGAAGGTAGAGGAGGCAAAGGATGCAAAGGAGACAGGGAAGGAGGCCAAACAGGAAGATGAAAAGTAAAGAAGAAAATACCACAAAACAAATGTTGAAAATAAATATAGTTTGTCTTGTACATAAGACTGTGGCAAAATATATAGGACCAGGTTTAGGTAGGTTCTGAAATAACTAAAAAAATATCTTATTCAAATAAAAGTTGGACATAATCATGGCTACAGTATATATGTATGTGTGTATATATTGTGTATTTAGGGAGGTTGACAAACATAAGCTGATCTCTCGATGGGAAATAAGTACTGTACATTAAATGTGTAATATTAATAAACATGTGGCTAACGTGTAGCTGGTGCGTGGTTTACCCTATGTCTGCGTTCCATTTATATTCAGTGCACATGTAAGCTGTGGTTGTTTATGTACCTAGAAATACTCAAGATGAAAGTATACTCAGGTTATAACAACCAGAAGTGGAGTCTGCTACCACAGCTACCACAGTTAAAATGTATGGTAGTAGTTTTTGGAATTCTGATTGATTCTGATTTTGTTTGTTTATTTATTTACTTATTTATTGACAGAACAGAAAGCAGTGTTGCTTTTAAAGTAGCCGCTGATACCCGCAGTCTGTGTAGCTCAGGGCTAATTTGTAGACCTGGTCCCTCACATAAAACAGACAAATGTAGCCAGTGACATACAGACGTTACAACATGAAGCACATTTAAAAAGTATTTATATTAACACACATTTAAACTGGCTTTAGTGTTCACAGGCCTGAATTTGTTTCAGCCACTGCTTCACTTTGCATTTAAACTGGTTTGTCTTGAGTCATTTGATTTTGAAGTAATATTTAACTTTAAGACGTAGTACGCAAATCACCTGTTGTTGTCACACGTTGTTGTGCCCGTAGGCAAGGCACTTCACCCACATTGCCTGGTATGAATGTGGTGTGTGCATGAGTACTGGGGGTGGTTGGAGGGGGAAATGGCGCAGATTGATAGCCTCGCTACAGCCAGTCTGCCCCAGGGCAGTTGTGGCTACAATAGTACCTTAGAAGTGGAATGAGTAATGCTCTGTACAGTGCTTTATGTGTCTTTATGTGTATATTTTAAATTCTTGCTTCATTCATTTTTGATAAGACCTAGTATTTTATCTGCCTGCTAAGACAATTGCAGTACATGGTGTTGCCCACTGGGGGATAGTAAAACGCTATTTGCAAGCTGCCCATTTCACAGCCTGGGAAGGTTATGAATGGAGAGTTTTTTATTGTAAAAGATACAGTAGAGATAGAGAACAAATTATCATTCATTTTTGTTGATTTCTATTTACTCAAAATCAAACATATCAGACAAAAGCAACTCCGAATCCTTTTTGTTATGCCACAGTTTAATTTATTCAAGTATCTCTTTTGACTCTTATGGGCACAAGCAACCTCTCACTATCAATTCAATTTCCACCTTAAATTGCTCTAAACAACGGTGCCTGGCAAATGGCTGTGTATTAACAAAAATAGACTATTACAAAAGTAATCTTTAAGAGAGATTGCCCTATTTTGTACAAGTAGCAGTGGAGAGCAGATGTTTGCGCAGAGACGGCTTCAGAAAGAGAAATTACTTTGTGGTTTATATTTGAATGGAAAAGCGGCTTATTTCAACATTGGGGTTAATATTTAGAGAAACCACCTGATGGGATTAGCGGACTAATAAGTGTTGGTGTGCACCCATGGGACCACTGATCATCTATTGTGTGGAGTTGTGAGAAAGGAAAGTCATACTCACTGAATCAAAGCAAGGACCCAACCAATGCAAGAATAACGCAGCTACTGTATTTTACAGACTGAGCTTCACGGCATGTCTGTGCCATTAATGAAAACTCATATATTAAAGTGGACATTTCATGATATGTTAAATTATGCAAAACCTATATAATATACTTAACTATACAGCTGAGTTTTATGATTATAAAGTTTTAACAATTTTATGTTGGATATTAATCTATAATTCTTATCTTGCCGCTAGTGACGTGCTCACATGAAGTGCATGCATATACTACATTGTGTAATTTGCATAATGTTCTTTCCAATTCATTTACTCCAACAGTGAAAAATATTCTGTTTTCTAATCTTATAATATGAGTTAAAATCATCTATTATGCAGAAAAGAAAAGCAATCAACCAACAGAATACAAATATGGAGCCTTTAGCTTTTATGCAAATTAATTCATTACAATAACATCAAAAACACTCTCTGAATAATAAGTTTACAGGATAAAATTTTGTCACATAAAGCCACTAGCCAGTATTTGGACCTGCCCTAAACTTTTTCCCCAGTGGGATTAAACAAGAGTTGAACTGAGAATTTAACAACCATTTTGTTGAACAGATGCAAATGACTGCGCACTGTGAAACAGAAAAAGACAAAAACAAAAGAAATATTGTCAATTCAAAATTGTTCTTCCTATTAGGTTATTTTAGTAACACCTGGCTGAACACTTGTAAGTCTGGGATAAATAAATACCATTCTTTCTTTAGAGACTTAAATTTGCACTGTGTAACATTTTTAGTGGAAGGTTCCTGCTTGTTTCCGTGGAAATGTTATTGCTTTGTCCAGATCTTCCACAGTATAAATTAAACCTTTCTATTGTGAGAGATAAACAGGTTACATCATTACACTACATTACAGTTCAGATCTGTGGAGAGTTGCCCCTATTCATAGAGCAATAGAAACATCAGTAATGAATAAATGATAGATTAGGTCTCCAAAACAGGTCTTCAATATTTTTCCTCCAGTGAAATACTTTTACAAAACGAAAATGCCAAAGAGCTACTAGTTTAAGCGATAACTAAAAATGTTGTATAAGAGCTACAGAAAGCTTTAGATGAGGTATCGTTAAAGGCCTATAAAACAAACCATTATCCATATATTAGGTTACAAAGTTAGGCATCAAAATGATACATGTGCAATTGTAAAAGGCATTTAATCCAGTTTTATTTATTCAGCACAATACATGTAAAACAGAAATCCCTTGGTGAGCTACGTAGAAAGGGGTGGAGAGCTACAGCACTCGAGCTACAAGTTGGAGACCCCTATGCTAGATGGGTATGTTTAAAGGTGCACTGTGTAACTTTTTATACCTTATTTTTATGGATTTGTCTGGAATGTTCCACAGTATGGCATTTAACGGCTCTACTTTTCATTCCTTAAATTACAGGTGGTTTTATAGCTCAAAAATACCTAGAAAAACAGGAATTCTGACTGTGAGCAGGGTCGCCTCTCCACAGATCTAATCTGTAACATGGTCTTGTTTGGTCTCCATGATGATAGAAATATTTAATCACTCAATTTCACTTCTCTCCAGCAACTAGATCAGGAATTAGAATACACTAGACAGTTTGCAAGAACCTCAGAAATTGTAGACTGTGCACCGGCCAATCAGCGAAGAACTGTGAAGCCATGACGTCAACAAGTGCCTGTCTGGGTCCTTTTGTGGTACAACACAACAGTAAACAAAGCGGTCGAGATGGATGTAGATGAAGCCAAACATTCTGTGTTGGCAACGATTCCTGAGATCAAAGATTTAAAGCTGGAACAAAGAGAATGTTTGGTGAATTGTACCAAGGGGAAAGATGTTATTGTCCTGCTTCCTGTGGGATTTGGCGCATTACATACGCCATGACCAAATAGCAGAGATTGGTTAAATTAAAAAAAGTACCCGTCTACTGTCTAGCGAACGAATCCTAATGCTGCGAGGTCAAAGAGTTTCCATGAAGTGAAACCGGCGGATGAATCAGGCTAATTTGATGAACCCTCCACAAGAAAAGTTACACAATGCCCCTTTAAACGCAGCAGTATAGTTGATGTATGCTGGTGGGGTAAGACGGGTGATGGAGCGCATGTCATTTAGCACGCTCAGATTGTTTTCTATAAGGCTGATTTCCCAAAGGACGCATTTCTCTGAGGGATTCCATGCCTGAGGAGCCCGACTGTATTGAACAACACCAATGCCGTTTTGAAGAAGAATTGGTCCCTTCACATCTCCCCATTAGCATGACTCATTAGCATTCCCCAAGATAGCTCTGAGTCTACAAATCAACTCAAAAATAATACCAGTATATGTAGAATTAGGTACCTCATACATTTTGCAAAACATTAAATAAGAGATTCAAGAGACGTAAATTAAATAAGCAAACAGTAAATATCCAATTAATGTTAAATAATTCACAATCCGTAACACCCACTGCTCTGTGAGGCCCCAAAGGCAGAAGGGGCTCAACTCCTCATTAATAAGAAAAGCAGTTTAGTTTAGTCAGTCCATTCTCAGTGTAGTGCAGCATAGGGGAAACGGAGATTAGACACAAAGTAATTCAAATAGACTTCACTGGCACACAGGAATATGCTCTAAGGAATTTATATGAGCTTGTCACCAAGTAACAATGCATGAACACAACAATGCAAACTATTCGATGTTTTTACTGTAGAATGTGAAGCTGTCTTACTAGTTCAGCAATGAATATGTTTATGTAACTGTACTATTATAACATCAGGAGAATAGCTGATAAGTGTAAAAGAGCATAGACCATATAAAGATGTGGACCGAGGAAGTGTGATGCCAGAGCATTCAGCTTCAGTCAAATGAAGCTCACTGAAGCCTGGAGTTATACTTGAGATTTTGCCAAGCTCAGTATTAGGGAATAGGAATTTGGAGAGTCCCTGCCTCAAGTGGAGGAGTTTAAGTAACTCAGGGTCTTTTTCATGAGTGAGGGGAGGATGGAGCGTGAGATTGACAGACGGATTGGTGCAGCATCTGCAATGATGCAATTTCTGTATCGGACCGTTGCGGTGAAGAGCGATCTGAGCCGAAAGACAAAGCTCTTGATTTAATGGTCAGTCTACGTTCCTCTCCTCACCTGTGTTCATGAGCTTTGGGTTATGATCGAAAGGCCAAGATCACAGATACAAGCGGCTTAAATTAGTTTCCTCCGCAGGGTGGCTGGGTGCTCCCTTAGAGATAGGGCGAAGAGCTCAGTCACACTGGAGGAGCTCGGAGTAGTGTCACTGCTCCTCCACGTCAAG